AACAGCCTTACCAATTCTGACTTCAACTTTCCTTCCGTTATACTAATCTGTTCCACTTTATAACACAACACAACTCATTGTTCTTTATTACTGTATTCTTTGATTAGAAAGCCCTTTAACTGCAGGTCATTCAAATAATTTTCGTCAGGATGAGTTTTGTCTGTTGATTTACCATAACTTTTTCTGTTACACTACAAACAGCTGAGCGTTGTCGGTGTTTCCTGTTCGGTTTCCTTACTACTATTCTTTTCCTCATTTTCAGCATTACATTTGCAGCGTGCGGTCACAAGGCTCTTTCCTACGTCTTGAACAGAGACCGAACATACGTGTCTGTCATAGTTACCAAGTGCCTTCAGATCATTACTTTGTGACAAGTACGTGTTTATTGTAACGAAGAGAATGTACTGAAAATCGAACAGCATCGATGTTTGCATTTCCTTATGTCTTTTAAAGGGAAATCGGGATGCTTGATGCATGCACTCGACAAGAAAACATAAGGGATAAATTTGTAAATCCGCTGAATCCGTTGGATTATCGCTTCTTGTTCCATATGGTCATGGTCACATGGATAACGGATAATAATCCGAAAACGTCAATGCGCTATATCTCTTCATTCGTCATGATACTCAAAGTTGCGAAACAGTTCATACTATTTGGCACTTCATCGAAAAGACCGCCTCGGAAGTGCAGGTTTTACAGCTGCATACAAAACAAGATTTTTCTCCCTCCTGTAGGCGCATTAACATTTCGATTATCATTTTCATCCGTCAACAAAAACAACTTATCTAACTGTATGACATCATGGCGCAAGGGTATATTAATGACATAATAAACTGAAAAGGAGTGTTCAATGAAAGCAAGAACACGCAAGTGCCGTTCTGTAGGTGCAGTGTTCAGAAATATCGAATATAACCGTAAGTCAAACTTAAGGGCGACAGTTGCTTAACAATTTACGGTATTTAGATCATTGTAAACTTGAGTACTTATTAGATTTCAGTATTCACAGAATGATTGATTTGGTTCGTAATACGAACACTAAAGTTTGAGAAACGCCTCGTTATTGAAATTTTTTGATGTTTGACCTAGTTTTTATTGAGGACTTATCTTGTTATGTGCTGAATTTCCGATCTTCACGTAAGACGCTTGTACCAATGAACTGTATGTTGAGTAGGCCAGTTTGATTTCATATGTTTTTACCAACTAGAACACATTCCTAATCAATAACCTATTACCTGTAATTTTTTATGTACATCTACGTAAATGACATTTGAACTTTGTATTTAAAATGCAAACACTTGACTATCTTTTTTCGAGCATCTGTCCGGTAATAATCTCCTTGTAAAATACAGTGTTTATTCATGTTTATTCATGCATTATCGAATCGTGACAGATTGAAACAAATAATAATGAATCACCTTAAATGAACAGCAGTGGTAATAATCATTTGCATGAAAGATTCAATTAAAAGCGATCTGACCACATGCATGTGGAATATAACATGGAACTGACTGTGACCCAAAATACTTATATTTAAAAAGAACACTGGTATTTTTCCTCGCTGAGTAAATTCCATTGTTTTGATCGTTATTAACGTATCAAGACTACTGTTTATACTTTGATTGAATTTCTTTGAGATTAAGTATTCGATTAGAGTATCATTTTCGTTTCAAAAATAGTTTATCGTCGGTACTCTGGAGTACCTTGTTTTTTTGTATTGTATCTGTTAATACTTTTGTTCTAACTATTTACAGTTTTCTACTTTTTCGGTCAAAGATCAGTCTAGACTGCTCAAAGTAGTATTAAAATCCCCAAACGAACGCGACCTAATTTTCAAAATGGACATAAATTAAAGGGCTCAGGAGATTTTTTCCGTAAGGACATACCGCTGGCGGACCGTGTAAAAAGACGGAAAAGAGCTACAGGTCAAATTAGACGCTGGCGAAAAGACCTGAAAATTGTAAATTTTCGGGTTGTGAGGCTTCGATGATGATACCGAAGCCACTCTGGGTGAAGCACGAGGCCACTTAAATAGGCTTCGGATCTGTTACACCAGTGCCCGGAGCTTGCTCAATAAGCGATCGGAGCTAGGTGTACAGATTGACTCTACTAAGCCAGACATAATTGCAGTCACAGAAACTTGGCTGACGCAGTTTATAGATAGTAGGGATCTAGCTTTCGGGGGTTTTACTTTAGTAAGGGCCGATAGAATACAAAAGCGTAAAGGAGGGAGAGTAGCTCTATTCATTAGGAATGCTATTCCATTCACCATTATCGACAGTGTATCCCATGAGAGTGGGACGTATGAATTAGTTAGCTGCGCCTGAAATGCAAGGAACAAGAGTTGCTGCTTAGTTTGATCTATCGCAGTCCAAGCTGTGAGGTAAAAGAGGTCCTGTTAAGCAGTTTCACCACTGTCACGAAGTGGTCGATGTCTAATCCTAGGGGACTTCAATGCACCCATGGTGGACTGGGGAAATCTGCGAACTGAATCGTCAGATAATTCCTTCGAGCAGGAACTAGTCGATGCGGTTATCACACGTGCCCTAGTGCAACACGTGAAGGAAGCAACCAGGTACGACACAGGTTCTTCACCATCCTAACTAGATCTTATATTGACTCACTATGAGGATGATGTTGCAAACCTGGATTACATGCCACCCCTAGGCAAATGTGATCATGCAGTTTTAACCTTTGACTTCCATATAACTGTCAATCATCAGGACGCGTCAGCTCAATCCAGACCTAACGTCTGGAAAGCAAACATGCAAGGCATCATACACTCAGCATCATCATTAGATTGGACAATATACCCAGAGTCCTCAATCGAAACGGCTTGGGACGTATTCCGGAATTTAAACTTAAAAGTTACCGCCTCCCACATCCTTTGGACTACACCTAGGGGGCCGACAAACTCCCCACCGTGGTTTAGTAGGGAGCTTCGCATCCTTCTCCGTAAAAGAAGGAAAATGTGGGATAAATTTAGGTTACTGCGGACTGATGAGGCAAAATCCCAGTATCAAAAGGCTCGAAATACCTGTGCCTCGACCCTCCGTTAGTCCAGAAAGCTGTACGAAGAGAAAATTGTTAAAGAATTCATAGAATGCCCTAAGCGCTTGCATTCGTATATAAACCGAAGGACAAAAAGAAGAAATGTTCCTTCACTATGGGGAGAGAGTACTGCCTCATCACTGGTGGAGGACGACTTTGGTAAAGCTCAAGTATTCTCAAAATACTTTAGCAACTTATATACTATAGAAACACCCTTTTCACCAGTCCATGAAAATCCCCCCACACAAACACTGGACAGCGTGACGATTAGGGAACTCAATGTCTTTGGTCTGCTAATGAAGCTTGACATAGGCAAATCTGCGGGACTCCATGAACTGCATTGTAGCTTACTAAAGGAATTAGCTAACTTTGTTGCGAACCCTTTAAGTATATGTTTTAATCTATCCGTAACTCAGGGTCGTCTACCAAAAGACTGGAAGAACGCCATAGAAAGTCCTGTCTTCAAAATAGGTACAAAACATAAGCCTGAGAATTACCGACCCATTAGCCTAACTAGTGTGGTTGTTAAAATCTCAGAAAAGATTATTCCGAAGGAGCTGTTTAAGTATCTCGATTAAAACATAATCCTCTCGGAGAAGCGGCATGGTTTTAGAACAGGTTACTCTTGTCTCACTAACTTACTAGTCACTCGTAAAAACTGGTGCGCTTTTAAAAACTAAAAGCTACCTGTAGACATACTTTACATCGACTTCAGCAAAGCTTTCGTCAAAGTTCGGCATAACCAGCTGTTACGTAAGCTCAGGAATGTCGGGATTGAAGGCAATCTATTGATGTGGATAAAAGACTTCCTAGTTGGGCGTCAACAAAGAGTACGGGTGAACTCCAAGTTGTTTAGCTGGGAAACTGTGCTTAGTAGAGTCCCCCAATGTACGGTTTTGGGGCCAGTGTTATTCCTCCTGTACGTAAATGACCTCCTTCGTCTACTATCGTCATCGGTCTTGCTCTATGCTGGCGATGTCAAGATATGGAGAGCGATACAAAGTAAGGGTGATAGCTTAGAACTGCAAAACGACCTGGAGAAATGATCTGAATGGTCCCAAACCTGGCAGTTGCCGATAAATACTTTCAAGTGTATTATGGTGCATATCGGCCACCAGAGTACAGATACATACACGATAAATAACACTGAGCTACATATTGTGCAGACACGCAATGACTTAGGAGTCATCGTTAGTCAAGACTTAAAAACTAATACACGCTGCCATGCAATAGCCGCCGAAAGTTTTAGAACTTCATGGTCAATACGTAGGGCTTTTAGTCATCCTGACGCTAAAACGTTTCTGACTTTGTATACAGTGTTCGTGCGTCCTAAACTTGAGTACTGCATACAAGCAGCTAGCCCCTGTCTAAAAAAGACAGTGAACTCTTGGAAAGGGTTCAGAGAACAGCAACTAGGCTGATTCCCGGAAAAGCGAAGCTCCCGTATGGTACTAGACTGACCAAGCTAAACCTATTCCCGCTGTCATATAGAAGAATCAGAGGTGACTTGATTATAGTTTTCAAATTGCTTAATGACAGATTTGCACCTGATACGCCCTCATTTTTCTTGTCTCCCAAAACATAAAATTTACGAGGACACTCCAAAAAAGTTCTCAAGCCCAGAACGAATTACTTGTCAGCTGACTACCGACTTTCTCATCGAATCATCAACGAGTGGAATTCATTACCTCAGCACGTGGTTGAGGCTCCATCCGTCAACTCTTTCAAAATAAAGCTTAATCATCTGAGAGACCATCATTTTCAGGACTAACACAGGCCATCAAGCCTTCTGTCATTTCCAAACTGAAACTGAACTAATGAAGTGCGAATAGAGATCTGGCGCGAATATTCAACTGATAACTGCAGTTTCTACTACAGTTCCCATCCATCCCAAGTGTCTTGGGGAATGGATATTGGAAAAGAATGCACGGTGAATTTTAATCATTGAAAGGATGGAAGAACTTCAGATTGCTTTTGTGGGTTCGCCTCCACCTTCAGGAGAGGAAATTTGCGCTTCTGATATAAACTTTGATAGGACACTTCCTGGTTTGCATCAAGTAATTTAGCTTCTATCTAAATGTTTTTCAAGTATCTTGGGACAGATTTTGTAGATGTAGGCGGGAGAACGTTTCTGGAGCCTGGGAGTAAAACTCATATGTATGCATTTTATCGCAAGGATGTTGTTTTGGTGCCCGGACATTCTCTTCCACTGATACCTTACGATCCACTGGAATCAGATCTCCTCCAAAAAATTAATAAGGAGAGAAAGCCGTTGATATTTCTCCCTGGGTAGTGAGTTGTCATTGTTCTACGTTTTCCTAGTGAGCATTTTATTTCACACTTCTGCTACATGTTTTTAATCCACAAGGACTTAAACAACTGGTTTTATTTTTAAGTTGAAAATCATTGTGTAGCTTTTCTGGCTGTTCATCTCCCCCCAAACTGCTAGCTAAGATAGCTACAAAATGAGGGCTGTTGTACTAACAAACTAGTGCAAAGTGGCGGACCCTGGCAGACATGCCTAGTCATCTCTACAAATGGTTTCCCATTTTTAAAAGATTCATATTGTAGTTGTTTATTCTCATATCTATCTAGGCTTTTTATCTCTATGGTGAAACTCTTGAGCGACTACTTCAGATAAGTATATGACAAAGTTATATATACATAAGACCAAGATGTTCGTTTGAGAGCTGTCTCTAACTGTACAAATCACAGGTGATTTTTAGAAATTGTCACCTTTCCGGCTTAATCATTGTCATTATTACCAAGAGATCACAGTTTATGACTCGAGAATGCTTAAATGGTTCACATTGTTATCATTTGCTGATAACTCGAATATGTAGTGAACCTGAAGTACTTTGAAATCATCTGTTGTATTGTTATAATAATTGGATATGAGCTGAATTTATCTTTCGTTTTGGCAGTTGAAACTTATTGTACTTAACGAATTTGTGTAAGTCAGCTAACTTCACTTACTATTTTAATCAAACCAAGCTAATTTCAAGATTATTTGTCTATTCAGTTACAAAGCAGAAAAATACTGGTTTAATACTCAAGACAAAGAAATGTGTGAGTCATCTTACCAATTTGTTGTGTTTCAGTTATGATCAATGGGCTTCTGTAGTCTTTTTGTACTTTCAGTCAGTCATTCACAACGTAAAACCTGGTACGTTCGTACATCGGTTCATGTTGCCCTACTCCATTAGCACGTCGAGATGAAATTATCAGGCCAATTCCCGGAATAGTAAAGGTACAACAGTATCAGTGGGAATAGGAAAGATTAGGTATCGAATATGCGATTCGAAAAGGAATTATAAACCAGTGAAGGACAAACAAACATTCTGGGAAATTTGGAATCTCATGATTTGAGAGAAAACAAAAAGGATTTACCTGTGCCATTGCAAACGATCTTGTGCCATTTCGTTCGAAGTCACTGACCATTGGTTACGATTTTTACGCAGACTGTAACCAGGTAGCCCACACGTATTAACATGGCTAAGTTCTATTGTCGATGTGTTCCATGTTTTGGTTTGGCCGCTTATTAGCTTTTTTTCCGTCCTGCTTCTTCATCAGGAAAAATCGGCCGTCAAGTTTGATGGTGGTTGAGCATATTTCACACATTTCCCAATCACCTCTGTTGATGAAAACTTACTATATCATCAGTCAATTTGTCATCCTTACCTAGTATCCTGTTTTTAACCTAGGCATCACTTACTCCCTGGACCCGACATGGACGAGCAGTGCTTCGAAGACACCTGTAATCAAATACCAGTAACCTTCGAATGTCCTCTGTTCTTAATGGTCGTATCTCACATCCATGAATTGGAACGGGGCGAACTGCTGCGCAGTTTGTTTTTATTTATTTAAACACATATATATTGGTTCAAAAGGGCACCAGGTACATATGCGCCACACAAAATAATGAAAGTAGGAAGAGAAGGGATGAAAAGATAAGGGGGACTGAAATGTACAACCAGAAGACTCTTTCAGTTAAGAAAGTTTGAACCACTCTTTATGTAGAAAGTAAAAGGAGGTTGCAGCAGGATCGCCACTGGCTTCTATTCTGAGCCATATCTGATAATGTCTCTAGCCACTGTGTTGCACTATCTCTCGGACCCCAGCCAGGGAGTCGTGAAGGACCAACAGAAGCTAGCCCTTTGCAGCTTTCTTTCATGCCACGACACCATGTCATACACTGACCTCCTCTCCGCTTTTTCCAACCAGTCCCAGGGTCGGCAAATAATGCACGACGTGGAAGTCTCTGGGACGACATTCGTAAAACATGTCCAAGCCACCGAAGTCGGTGTTTCAAGATGGTGACACCAATTGAATTATCGTCTCTGCGCCCGAACATACGATGCCGAACCTCTGCATTACTAACATGGTGTTGCCACTGAATGTCAGCAATCTTTCGGAGACAACGATGATCGAACACAGAGAGTCGTCTAACATCCTCAACTCGGAGAGGCCAGGTTTCACAAGCATAGAGCAAAACTGCTCTCACCGACGCGTTGTAAATCCGAACTTACAGCCAGACTAGCATCACGAAGGCGCCAAAGATGGCCCAGATTGGCATAAGCCGCTCTGGCTTTCATTATACGTGCATCAATCTCATCACTCACGCCACCACCAGCACTTATATAGCAACCTAGATACACGAACTTCTCAACTACTTCAATCTGCTCACCATCCAGGGTGAGTACAGGATGAGAATCCTGCCAGTCTTGTAGGAGTACTTTGCACTTGGAGGGTGCAAAGCACATGCCGCACCTGCGGACACTGATTACCAACTGATTAAGTGCTGATTGCATGCCTTGGGCATTATCGCACAGTAAGACAATATCATCCGCATACTCAAGGTCGAGAAGTCGTTCTCTAGGCAACATATCCTCATCGCTATTACTTACATCCATCAGAGCTGTTTCCAGGATGTCATCGATGGCAAGTTGAAGAGGAATGGTGGGATCGGGCAACCCTACCTAACCCCACTGCTCGAATGGAACAAGGGAGAAAGGTGGTTGTATGTCCTCACTTTGCCTGAGGTGTTCGTGTACAGGGCCTTTAAGATTTTAATGAACTTCTCAGGCACACCCTTCTGCAATAGACAATCCCAGAGAACAGTCCTGTCCAACGAATCGAAGGCAGCCCTGATATCAAGAAACACTACGATTGTTGGCCTGCGATAAGTATGACGGTGTTCTAACATTTGGCGGAGGGTGGAGATGTGATCAATGCATCCTCGACCAGAACGAAAACCAGCCTGCTCCTCGCGAGTCAATCGTTCTCGGGTTTTAAACAACCTACGAAGAATGACAGAGGCCAATAGTTTGGACGCAATCGAAAGTAGACTTATCCCCTGATAGTTGTTGCAGGAACAACGTGAACCCTTTTTAAAGATAGGGACGACTATTGACTCATTCCATGATGTTGGAACACTTTCTTGCTCCCAAACCTTTGCAAACAACACCGTCAGTTCCTTAGCCAGAAAGTCACCACCATCTTTAAAAAGAGCCGGAGGTAAGTCATCTGGGCCCGGTGATTTGTAGCGCTTCAGGAGTTGGAGTTCCTTGCGGACTTCCGCCTCGTTTGGTGGATCAGTCGTCACCGGCCATGGGGGGCAGGACAAACTGGTTGATGTTGCCGGAGCAGCAGGCCAGTTGAACTGCCCTTCGAAAAACTCCGCCCATCGTCCAAGACGTCGAGAGATGTTAGTGATTGGCATCCCGTCATCCTCGTAGATTGTTTCACTCACACCAGACTTCTTGCTGCCAGTGGCTCGGATGAGTTGAAAGAGCTTCCGGCAGTTACCAGATGCAGCTGCTGCTTCCATCTCGTTAGCATACTCCGACCACCAGGCTTCTCGGTCCTTACGCAAGCTTTGCCCGATTTCACTACGTAACAGCTTTCGTTTGTGGTCAAACTCACGGTCACCCGGAGTAGACCGACGGGCTCCCATCAGTTGTAAGGAGCCAGAGGAAACCCAGTGCTTGTAAGCGGGACGTTTCGCGAAGCTGCAAGCGGCTTTACTCGTCATTTTCATGGCGTCGTGAAGACGCAACCAATGCTCATCTATACTTTTCGGTGGGATGGTAGCTAGTCTAGAAGTTAGCTCCGCTCGATACTTACTTGCAACAGATGTTGCAGCCAGTTTACTGACATCGATCCGTTGGTGGTGGTCAATCCTTCGGCCACTGAAAAGTAAGGTGAAATTGACGCAGACCAGGGCATGATCAGACTCCAGATAGGTACTCCAAAAGGAGCGGCAGTCTTGTACACAACCACGCCAGCGGTAGCTGATCGCGATGTGATCAATCTGAGTCCAGGCTTGAGATGCAGAGGGAGGACACCAGGTGGCACACCGGCGATGACTGTGTCGGAAGTTAGTGCTAGCCAGAAACAGGTTGTGGTCTGTGCACAGTTGCAGCAAACGGTCCCCGTTATCTGTCCTGCGACCAACAAGTCCCCATCGGCCACCTAGACGACTCTCTTCTGTGCCTAGACGCCCGACCTGTGCATTCAAGTCTCCGGCTAGTACTACAATATCTGTCGAACGCGCTTTCTGGAGAAGAACAGTTAACTGGTGGTAAAACTCATCCTTGATTGCATCCGGGCTGCAATCTGTCGGGGCATAGGCGGAGATGACGAAAAGACACCGTTTCTCACGCCGGTTTCTTTTCACTTTGATGGAACTTTCTAATCTAACAGCACATAACCGAATGTCAATGTGGATCTAGTCGATTAGTGCTGCCTCAGCTCTAGCGCTTAGTGCAACACCAACGCCTGCAAGACCGGACGAAGATGCCACAGAGTCCCCGGATAAGCGCACGTGAAACAAGCTTTTCGAAGCGACAGATTGAGAACGAATTTGTAGTACTTCACTAGAGTCTTGAATACGGGTCTGGGATAGACAGCAAACATCAACATTAAGACTTTCTAAAGACATAGCCAGCCGTATCTGTTGTCCGATCTGCATTAGTGTGCGAACGTTGAAGGAAGCCAGCTTGAACGGCGTACGTGGTTTCAGAAAGACTGCTTCAGTATTCGTAATCGGTGGAAGCATTCACTTTCAACCAGACAATGACTGGAGATCGTTTAGATAGGACAGAGTACACTCTCCCTTTTGTTTGGAAGATGGATATCTCGCCTACGTCACAAGTGACAGAAGTTGGCGAAAGCCAACCGAGCCTTCTGAATTTGTGCCGATATTTTATCAGACACCAGACCATTGGTATTGATGGGGCTCCCAAGATAAGTAAAGCGGTCGACGCGTTCAACCACTTCACTCACTATCATTAATCCAAGCGAGCTAATCCCGAAGTAAAATGTTGCATCCGGAAGAATAGAACTGCATCTAAGACGTGCTTGCATTGTTGAATAAAGTGGTCAGAAGACTGCATTTTGTCAGCATCTTCAAACAGTATTATGTAATCTGACTATTCTAAGTGAACCTCCTGGTAGGAGATCCATCTCTGATAAGTCAGACGATGAAAGTGTTATCTTTAAAAGCATCTCTATGACAAAGATAAAAATGAAGAAAGCGGACAACCCCGATAAACACCACTTCAAGTAATCAGTTCCGACGACAGTTCACCACAAGTTCTGACTCGTCTACAAGTGTTCGAATAGAGACCCTATATAAGGTTGATTTAGTTCTTTAGTATGCCTTTCAAAATTGACACAAAATTTCACGACCAGCATAGTCGAACACCACATGAAGGTCTCTTCCCATCCTGTATTTACCAGAAGACCGCATGTACGGCGATAAGCCCAAGTCCCTTAAATTCACAATTTTCCAATCCTTACGTAAATGTCCCGTAATATTGAGGTCAGTCTGTGATACAGAGTTGAGAGCAATAGCTGCATTTGATAATTACGGTAAGCTGTTCTGACTAGTCTCGAAGACTATCGTTTGCATTTTAAGGAATGGTTTTATAATTTATGAAATTACCAATGGCTTCACATCTCACCGATTGAGCTATTCTCTACACATCCGGATTGCCTATCATAATTTTTTTTTGAATCTGTTCCAATCTCTTTTCAGACAAATATTTATGGTGAACTATATTTGCTCTTCCTATAGGACTTCGTACATCCAATTTGGGAATGTCTCATTGTGATATTTTCAACCCTTGAATACTTGTTTCTAATATTAGCCTATATCTTGCTTTCCTGTTTGTTGAATTTTAGTCAAGATCATGTGAGCTTGGGGGATTTTGTTGGTTGTGTTGGCACTACGGCTGACTTAGTTGCTATCTGTATTCCTGATTCAAACGAAAATGCTCCTATTCGTGCAATGTTTATTGGCAGACAACGGATTCGTATCACTAAAGCAACGCGTGACTCTTTATAGTAATTTTTTCACATAAATTATCAAATTCCTACCAACTTTTTTTTGATCTAAGCATAACTAAATTCTTCGTTAACACTGATATAATAGTTCTCATACAATTCAAATTTATTTTAATTAATAAAATATACTCAATAAGGCTTAAAATTAAGTAAGGTTGTTTTCGTGAAAAATTCGTTCCTAAAGTTGCCCAGCAGCAACTGTATATTTTACAAAAAGATAACCGGTAATGAGTTAATCACAATAATAATAACTACTAATCGTAGTAGTAATAGGTTCGTTAAATATGTTAACCGAGCAAAGCAAACCAAAAACACAAAAATGTTATGCTTAATAAGAACTTAACGGTGTAGTTCCTATAAGCTTGGGTAAGAAGAGCAAGTTGCATGTTGTGGTAAGATGAAATGTCGAAGCTGTGACGACCTGCGATCAGAAACAGCGTGGGAACAAAATTAGTCGGTTGGGGGTAAGAGGTTAGCGAAGAAGATAGGAGGGAAAGTAATGGGTTTTAAAAACTCAAAGATTAAGATCATAATTGGAAAAGAGGTTCTATAAGTTTCTCTTGTATACATAATTCTGGTTTTTCCAGATGTATCGTGAAAGATCCAGCAATGTTGAAAAGCCGATAGTTCACTGTTTTTGGCAGCTTCCTGTTCACCTTGTAGATGACTAAACTGTGTTTCTTTTAATCGAATGACCTGCATCCACATTTTGTTCGAATATAAAGCTTCGTACCAAACCGATTCCGCATCTTTTCAGCCAAGCTGGATTACGTTCTTGGATTCTCTCGCATAGAACGCGCATCTAACGACCCGTATAGGTAGCTCCACGCGAGCAGGTGGATTGATAGATGCCTATGTAATCGGTCCTTTAAATTGTTACTGAACATTGATGGACTGTAGAATACTAATCGTAAGTTAGTTCGCTACATGGATATAAGGAATTCACAGTCACTAAACGACAGATAATAAGGTGAACCTCCTATAGGAAATAGTTATCGACAGTGGGTATCAACAGAAATTTGTTGACAAATACAATTCAAACCGTCCAAAGTATGCATAAGCTATGCATCAGCGTCGATTTTAAGGATGAAAAATCTGCGGACATCTTGAAAAGAATTTCTGACTATCAAAAAACTTTATTTGCACTCACCTTAGGATTAGTATTCTACGGATTGGCCAATGTTCATTGACAGCATAAACGATAAACTCTCTCATTCTACCACTTGTATACGTATTTATCAGTTCACCTGCTCTCATATTAACAGAGCTGGATGAAATTAACAAAATGGGAAAATAGTTATCACGAGATTATATATAAAAGATCAAAATGGTGCGCAACTCTAAACAGAGAGTGACTGGAGGTTAACTTAACTATTATTCACTGCTCCACCCAGTCGCCAGGTATAAAAGTAGGAGATTCAGTGTTTTTCAGGTATATTTACGTTGGTCGCTGACGTTCTAGTCTCACTTTTCGTGATGTCTGTGCAGCTGCCCCATGTTTAATATCATTGGAACTTTATCTATTTTACTTCCTGTCCTCATCAGGACTCAATATTTTTGCGCTAAATTGTAGATATGCTATGAAATACGACAACTTGTGGACGCTTTTTTGATGTTTAGTGTGAATGTTTTAAATATCAAATGTTGTGACTTAGAGATTACAAGTATTTTGAGTTATTTTGATGCATGTTTTTGTTTGTTGAAATGATGAAATCCTCCATAATACTATGTACTCGATCGATAATTACTTATAGCATTGAGTTACTCACCTAGCCCCCTAAAATAAACTGGTATTTTAGTTTAACATTGGGATCAAGTTTTTTTCTGGTGAGTTGGCAAGCTTATATACAAAACGTTGGACGCCAGAATAAGCATTATTAAGGGTTGTTTAGATCAAGCAGTTTTTACAATGTGAACTTCGTATGCCACTTACACATCAATTAAGTTAAGGCTTGTCTATCAGGATTGTATCTTGCACGTCACCTCAGGTACACTTTATTACTCATCTTTTGAAGAAGAAATATACAAGTTGACTTAATGGGCCTTTCAATTAATACCATAGCCAGCGTTGAGTTTGCGTTCAGAAATAAGAAATTTAAAGTCTTAGAATCTTTTGTTGTGTCTACCTTTCCATTTAGTTTTATCAGGACTAGTAGTGTGAACAGTAAAATCTTTTTATAAGTTCGTAAGAATTAAGTATCCTAAGATAGAATTATGTATATTCATCTTGTGAACTGCATTCAGAATGTTGATTTTCCTCACTTGGCCTTTTCGATCTTAGTTATTATTATAAGCTTCTGAACGATAGATTTGAAAAATTCTCACGTCTTCCTTTGTATTCTCTGTTTAACTTCGCTTTCTTAACCATAGCCCCCTTGTTTGTCATGGTACAATTTTACCAGAAGCATCTTTTGATCGTGAAATGGCCAGTCACCCTTTGGGTTGGGGATTGATTCCTCGATCATGGGCTCGTTTTGGTCGTGATCCACTACCAGCACGTCCAAGTGCTCATAATTCCAACTCAAACCAAGTTTCAGCCAGTGTAGCGTCTACAAAGTATGTTTAGCATAGTACTTTGAATGTTAACTAAATTTCACTGTATTTTCGAGAAGTCATTTCCAAGTATCAGTTATAATCTGTTGTGGGTGATCTTTGTTGTTAAGACAACTTCCTTGCAATTATTATTTTTAGGTATCCAAACAGTCGTCCCTCTCACAATAGTCTGCCCAGTTCTCCCCCATCACATTCTCTCACAGTAAACTTTTGTATCCCACCAGCAGGTAATGCCTTTTCTATTTTCGATTCCCGGTTGAGTACTTGGAGAACTACAGGACCTATCAGCTCTGGCAATACATATCCGTCATGTAGCTCCGCAGGAGCTCGACTTGATCACTTTGTTGACGATGGTTCAGACCAGGAAGAGAATTCAAAAAAATCGAAATGTGATCATGATAAGTTTGACAATGAAGGCGATACAGAATTAAATTGTGCATCATCCAGTTATAATAAACAACAGGGTGCAAAATCAGGAAATAAACTAGCTAGATCTTCCTCACTTTCAGAAGACATTGAATTAATTGTGGATCGTGCTGTTGATCGAGTTGGTCGACCATTCCATTATCGTATCAAACAGCTTTGTGATCCTCGTCTCTTGGCTCGTCGTGATGTTTTGGCCGCAGTTGCACAATCTTATGCTTCTTTGCCATATTGGGTTTATCGGCAGTATGATTTGGTAGGTTTCAGTTATCATCTTTGTGATTTCCGCGTACTTAAATTGATTTCTACACAGTATTTCATCCGTTTCATAACTACACAAGTCAAGTAAATATGCAAATAATTTGTTTATAAGGATTTTATTTGACAATACTAGTGATATGAAAGGTGCACGTAAAGCAATAGTTTATGTTGGTATTCATGAGATTTACTTCATTTTACTTAGATCTGTACATTTCAAGCCTTTTACGTATATGATCTGCCGGGAATTTCGTGATAATAGCCACTTTAATTAAAGATCTAGTTTTATTTAGGTATATAATCAATAACCTATGTACCAGGGACGTTCAAATTTAAGATGAATTCATATCGTTGATGAATAATTCCTCTCAGATTGCATACAGTATTAACTGAAAAGCAATATGTTATTATGCTACTACGCCAACTCTATCATTACTATGTACCAGTTTAGAAATCATCTTCATGTGAGATTAGTTGAGAAATCGGTGAGTCGATGAAACAATACATATCGTGTAGTTGTGAATATATGATGATATATATATAAGCTATTGTTTTGTTTACATTAACTTTGTTTCGTATCCACGACTTTACTGTATGGCCTTTCAGCCAGTCAGCTGCAACATCGGACCATGCACGTATATGCATCGTTCCAAGTTGCCACACCTCATTAGCACAACAGAGATGAACACCAAACTCATAGAAGTAGTTACTTCAATGGTAGTAATATATAAAAGAAAGATTGTGTATAAGGGTGTAACACAGGAAACAAAAATTAGACTGTAGAAATAAAGGTGTGAAGCAATTTTAATCTCAAGGTTTAAGGCAAGACAAAGAGTGTATACACCTACGCCATTGTGATCGATTCTGAGCCATGTCACCCGGAGTCTCCAACCAAGTAGTCTGTATCTACCAACACGGCTCAGACCAGAAGTTAGTAACTTCAAGCTCTGATGCCACGTTTTGGTTTGACTGCCCCTAACTTTCTTCCAACCGTCCCCAACACTAGCCAGCATTGCATGTCGTGGTAATCGGTCTTCAGGTATACATAACTTGTGGCCCAACCATCTCAATAAGTGAAGATTTACGATATCAAATGACTTACCATTATTCCCTACGGGGTATGACCCTTATGTACAATATTCTTGTTGACTTTCCTGGAAATATAAATATAAAAACCGCTTATTACAGAAGCCTTGCTAACCTCAAAAAACATTTAGAAGTTATATGACTTTTGAATGTTTACGTATTGCCCTAATATATGTGGATTCTCGGTTCATTTGTGTAAAAATAACATTACTTTGGCCCCCAGTCTTTTCTGTTTTGTATCTTTACTCAATATCATTAATAATTTATAGTCTTCATAAATGCTTAGGTTCCTAAAAGGGTTTAGTGACTAAAGTTTACTCGCTGTTGTGCGTAGCCTTGATTTTTTGTTTATCGATCTACCAAACTTGGTTCCAGTTATCTCTTGATAATAGTTATATTTTTATGTGACTAACTATTAATCTCTCTGTTTCAAATAGGTGGAAAAGCTTACGAACAGTTTGGTATCAAGTGAAAATATTTAGGAGATAGTGTTAAAAAGTTTTTTTTCCATACCTATAACCTGACTTAAAATCGATAGTTTGTTGAATTAATTACTTTATCTTGCTTCATGGATAAATATTTTGGACTAGTCCTTGTAATTCATTTTCATATAATGCCAGTATATTTACTAAAATATTTGCTGGCTTTTAAGAATACGCTATACATGGTGTTTTATTAAAAGTAAGTAACATATTACTAGATATGATAATCTTATTTTAATAAGATTGATAGTTCTAGAGGAAGATTGATGTCATAGTATATTCCAAATTAAGAAAAAACACTCAGATTATTCCGTAAAAATATGGGATAATAGAATAGGGTGTCAAATGAGCTAAAAAGCTTTAGTGACTTACTGATAGTCAAAATCACATACGTGACTAATAGTAATCTCAGCCACTCATTGACAACTTGTCGTAAACGAATTTTTTAATGATACTCTCCTATTCTATACATAACGAAGCCAGTTGTATTTTGGAAGTGAGTTTAATTAGCCCAGCTGTTTGCCAATTTACTGTACACTTTCTATATCGGATTACTGTTATTATTAATTGGTTTTAGAATTATTTAGTTGCAGCCATTCAAGCGGAACTTTATAATTGGAATGATACTTGGCAAGTTGATAAATGGAATCCTGAATTAGCTGTTCCTTTTTCTTACTGGCTAATACAGAATCTTCCGATGTCTGGTTCGTTGAAATCTCATATATTGGGTATTGATCATGTTGTACAACGTTTACGAGCTTTGCTGGAAGTTATACGCCGTGTGAGTATACATATATAAACATTGTTACGAAGGGACACCAAAATATACATGCGTTACACAAATAATTGGGTTTGTGTGAACCAAAATACTACTCGGGTCCCCAAACCAAAGCAGTTGGTTTTCCTAGAGAACCATTCCTCGAGCGTTTGACCCAGAGTTCTAATCCAAAAGGCAGCGGAGAGAAGTTATGAGATGCGATCTCATGGTAGCCGGAGACTAACAATAGGTTCATACGCCATTTGTTCCTTGGTTCTCTTGTGCACCATTGGTTTGGAATCAGAGTTTCCATATTCCTCTAAATAGATCCTCCATACCCACCGACCCGGTTTAAGCGCCGGACATTCGCTTTTCTCCCTCTGAATTTCGTAAACATGCTCACCACGAAAAGCTATGTGTGTGTAGGACTTCAGAAGAATTGGTTATATACACCTAGCCATATAAGTGTATTTCGAGAGAAAGTAGATTCTTCTCACTATCATCCGTACCAGGGCATTTAGGCGCACACATATATGAGGTGGTTTGTGATAAGTTCGAAGTTAGTTATTTCTTCGATTTGAGTTTTTAAAAGCATATATGTTTTCACAGAAAACGCTATACAAAAGTCTTTTCACAATATACTTACTGATGGAAGCCCAAAACTGTCGTGTCTCTTATCAATATTTAAACAATACGAACGATAAACTGCAATTGTTTTCTGTTCATTAGAGATCACCAGTACATTCCCATTCTGTGCCAACTTACCGACGTTCTTGTAGTTACATACACCCTTATATGTACTATTTTAATTATTCTCACTCATAGGCTGTTTCGAAAATATTAAGGACTATTGTTAAATTGCGTAAAACATTATTTTCACATTTCCCCCTAAGTTTTTATGTTAATTTATTGATATTACCCATTTTTCCCATAAAAATCAATTTAATGTTTCTGTTTTCTAAAAACTAAAAATTTGCTTTAGTCGACAGCCTGTGTTTGTTCATCATGTGATGCAAATATCACTTCAAACCAATATATTATATGTCTTGCTCAAGAGGGAAGTTCACAGACGTATATTAATCCATCTGGTATTTTACACGATATTGTGACTGTGAGTCAAGTCACACCAAATTCTGTTAATCTTATCGGTGAGGCGTCAGCCGAATATTCTTGGTTTCCTGGGTATGTCAATAAGTTATTTTTTGAATATATCTATCAAATGCTTTATGATGTAAAAATACAATAAGTTTTAAGTCTTGTATTACCGAAAGTTTGATTACTGTAATTCTTGTGTGACTTTTTTAAAAAGGATTCTCCCCAAAATGTAGACGTTCTACATCATTCTCACTATTGGGATTTCTCAGCCATTCTGTTTTGACTTATGATTTGTCTTTTTCAATCGGTACGCCTACAGTCTTTTAGTAGTATGGAGATAGATCTTCCTGGAACCTTCACCACGCCCCTTATGCATATTTAAATATACTTAATTATTATTTCCAATGATCTAGCATTATGAGTTAGTACAGACGTTATGTGCTATCACTCTATGTGAGTTAGTTTTTTTATTAGTCTTTCGAAATGGTAGTCAGTCTCCCATGAAAAACACTCAAACTCATCCCTTCAAACATTTCCATTTAGGCCATATCTAGATTTGTAGAACAAATTAACAAATATTTTGATGTTTTGTTACTTAAGTGACTCGGAAAATCAATTGAAAGCCAAACATTATCATAAATAATTTTGAGATATGTGGATCCTATGCGGATTGCCTTGATATTGCCACTAGGTCACAAGCACTATAAGAGAAGGTCGAAAAGCCAGTGGCTTTCTGGACTCAGCAGCCTAATGGATAATGCGATGTACTGGTACTGGGTTCAAGTCCCTGAGTGAACATCAATTCTGGGATGCATGTACATCCGACTGACGAGTTCTGAAGAGGTCCCGAATCCCACTTCTAGCTACCATCAACCTCTGTTCACTGTAAAGATAACCTTCTTGGTTCATAAATTTTCATGATATCTATCGCTCATAGTGTAGTAAACGAGAATACAAGTAGGGACAATCAAATGTATTTGGACAAAAAATTACAGAACGTTATAGTAAAATCTGAGAACCATACAGTAAATACTTCATTCGCAAAATGTTCATTAATTATATCAGACTTTGTTGTTCCTGCATTTACATGCTAATTGCTTTCTGTTCCTGTTCTTTCCTCCTCGATCTTTTCAACCTTCCATTGCCAGACATTCTATTCCCGACTAGCGTTATATACTACTTATGTTGAGATAAGTAGCACACATCACAAAAGTATATGATTTACATACTGATAGACCATCCCAAGAATATCCAAATTATGAACTAATAATTCCTGTTGTGATTTGGCTCCATTAAATGAATTGTGAGAGATTATCACAATTTCTCAATTGCAGTTTATGTTCTTAAACAGAATAACTCTTCCATATATGCTTTTGCGTTGCAAAACTTAATGGGTGTAAAATATTGTTACTATCAAAAAATAATTTAAGATTTGACAGGTCAAATAACAGGTAATCCATTTTATAGGATTGTTGATGACCAAGTACTACTTACTGTGTCACATGAGTAGTATTAAACTGTTGTGGATAGTCATCATTTCTGGGTAGCCAGATCAAAGAATTTCTTGTATTAGACTTCTGTCCCACTCTCTCAAATTGGAGGCAGTAAACTGTGATCTTTACTCAACTTGAAGAAGCGATTTGTTAAAATAACGCTAATTGTAGTCAGCATACTGGTGGATGATTTGTCTTGATGGTTTCTACTATTATAATCTGTCTAACCAAACTTTTGTACATATTTTTTTCTAATGACACCTTTTAATTTCATATCTACCTTGTGTAATCATTTTTAAGAAGAACTACGTGCTCTTTAATACTTTCACTATTTTAGGTATTCTTGGACAATAGCCAATTGTAATAGTTGTTACCAGCATATGGGTTGGTTATTCAAAGCCTTAAATGATCAATTACGTCCACGAAAATTTTGGGGTATTCGACGTCAGACAGTTGTGCCCGGTTTAATAAGTGCATCAGATTGGCGTCCTTGTATTTAATTTGTTAAAGAAAAGTCACTTGATTTTTATCTTTTTTAACAAAATTGTTATCAACAGATATTGTCTTGTTCATTTTCGTTGTCATTAAAGTTTTATGTGTGAAATTTAAGTCATATATATCGACTTCAACACATTTTAACTGTTGCGAGTTGTTTATATGCATAAGTTCATAATTTGTCACTATTTTCCTCTAAAGTTATCCTTCATGTTTATTATAATTTAAAGTTAACTGTAATATAAACAAATTTAACCTATTCACCTCGACTTTGGCTTCTAAAGATTTTTCTTCAAAAATACTGTTCACACTTCGATTGTACTGCTTTTCTTCCTAAATGTGATTTTCATTTGTCAACCCTCACTCAGTTCAAGTCAATTTTTCTTATCTGTCCAAAGGTTTGGTGTTGCTTTTTCATTAACTCTAAAATAAAATCGAACAATTTGAGATCGAATTAATTTGTTCATGTTAAATGTATAGGTACTCATATGATGTTTTTGTTGAACATTTTATAGCTTATTTATCTATTATTTTTTTCACACTAAGCAGGAAACTTCATTGATTCTATGATGATGTTCTCACTTACCTACTCATTTAAATAACTTATTTCTCATGTGATCAATTTGTGTACATTTGGTATTCATTTTTTATCTTATATGATCGAGTGAAAGACTTCCATAAATTGGTTTATAAAACTTAAGGAGATAGTTAACTTATATGTCAGCACTTTTCATGCTAAAGCAATGTTATCAGTGTCGCTGATATTGATTTTATTGTTTACAACAAGTCTGTATATTAATTTTAGGACAGCAATCAGTATTCTTTATTCTACTATGTACCAAGAACCCTAGTTTTATGGTCTAATGACTTGATATAGTTTCAGGTTTGCCTTTCGTTATCGCCAGTATGAACTGATGATTATTTACTTTTTAGTGGGAGCTGATTAGATAAATAACTACATGTAACAATTGCTTATTATTCGCTACGAAACGTTCATAGCATCTGATATCAACCCATTTATTCTCTCCTCGTAAATACGTAAATGACAGAACAAGTTATTTAATTCTCTTATTTTATTAACAAAATACATCTCATACGCTTATATGTTTATAGAGTTAGATCTGCTATTGACTTTTGGAATTATGTCAAAAAGTCATATCTTTGATGTCACTAGTTACAACTTAGCTACTGTCGATAAATTTGAGATTCCACTGAACACGAAAGAGGATAATCCTATAATACTTAATTTTATATATACGGCCTACAAGTACTATTTACTAAAGGTTCTTACATTGTGAGATGCTTTAATTACCATTAGTCGGAAGTAGAGGTCTTTTTTTTGACTGGAGGAAACTGCTTCCATATCATTAGATAAGCAGCTCAGTAGGTCATTTGATATTGACGTAACGTCGGTCTACAGAATACCTTAAAAGTATTCCAACAAATATGTTCTATGTAGTACCTACCAATTATCAGGAAGTGCTACTTCAAAAGTTCTCACTACTTGTCAACGTGATTGACCAAGGACTATTATGCATTTCCTATCGATTTGAATCCTTACTGTTGTCATTTATTGATGTTTATAAATAGATCAGAGGCCAAAAGATTATCTCTGAGGATGTACGTTTTATCTAATTACGATACACTATGAAGCGAGGCACTAAGATAGGTATGTCCTACATGTGTAAATGAAGTGTTGAATAGATAGCAAGGAGTGGGAGTACAATAAAAAGCAAGTAAACATGAACGAGAGTAGCACCTACTGGAAGAAACAGTTCAATAATCTCTATGAATGGCCCCCAAGTGCCCTGGTACGGCCGAGAGTGGAGAGAGTCCGCTCTCCCTCTCGAAATGCTCTCACACAGCGAATATATAGCCTCTGCCAGGGAAGTTCTACTCACTGCCTTCTCGTGGCGGCGGTGTTGTGTACGAAATTGAGAGGACGAAAAGCGAATGTCCGGCGATTTAACTGGGTTGGTGGATATAGAGGATCCACCTAGGGGAGTTGGTAAACCCTGATTCCAAACCAATGGTGCACATGGGCTCCAGTATCCTGAGGGAACAAATGGCGTACGAATCAATCGTTGATCACCGGCTACCATGGGAATGCATCTCTTCAAGATGCTCCACTACCTTGTGGATCAGATCTTTCGGTCAAAGGCTCCGGGTGTGGGCCCCTAAGAAAACTACCTGCTCCAGTTCGGGCACCTGGGCAGTATCACAACCCTCAAGCAAATCGAATGAGATTTGTATGGCGCATATGTATCTGGTGCTTCCTTGTACCAATATTTATGTGTTTTAATAAAAAAATAAAATGAATATAAACTCGGGATTTAGCTACGACAATCATTACTTAAATAATAAAGTTAGGATATAATGTAATGAATGGGATTATTGTACTTCATTTGCTTCTGATAGCTGAATGTAGAATATACAATGTATCACTAGAGGAAACAAACACTACATACACAATATTTGCTGCAACGGCCTCTATTTTTCTGGTAACCCATCTACAACTTTCATCTCTTCGTACAAATAATTTGTTAGTTCTTCCCGTTCCTATGACATACGTATGGAACTGGTATTAGGTATTCTAATTGATCGTGTCTTGAATGCAATTTCTGAAAATTATAAATGCTACAGAATGATATTTTGGTTGAATCGTATGCAACTGACAAAATCGAACAAATTCACGTTAACTAGATTTTCTCTGGTCGCTAACTAAATTAAAGATTCCCTATTCCGACCACTCACATATCGTGTCCCAAGCTTGCATATGAGGTTTACGCTCCGCGAATCACCAAAATGTGCTACTGATAATTTCGTTATAACAAAACTCAGGCTTACAATAAACACATCCCAAGTGCACAAACTACATACCAGTTAGAAATCAATTTCTATAAAATTGACAGTGAGTGTACGACAAATCGCTTAGCAGTGCATATGATACGGGGTCACACCTCTGAACTTCAAGTGTCACGATTATACATTTAAACCATTGAGTCAGAATAGAGCTGTCAACATTGCTTATTATACATACACCATATCAACAAACTATGATACAACATAAGTGAGCGACATGATATATTTCTAACGACAATCAATTTATAGAAGCCAAAAATACTACATGACTGTCAGAAACTCAATAATGATCCAGAACTCGATAGTTAACACAAGTCACCAACTATACCTGTACCGCGTAATTTAATTCAGTAAACAATGTGTTCACAAACTATTTTGTGTTGTTAGTAATTTGGAAAAATACTAAGCTGGGGTTTCAAAATGAAAACGTCTGTTTTCATAAGATGGAGACAACATATGTCATTACGAAGATCAACACACGAGAAGTTAGTCTATGTTTTAGTATCTAACACGAATTTTAAATTGTTCCAAAAAACATAGATTTGTACATCTGGCACAAAAATTCCACCCTTACTCATTTTTTGCAATTACCTACTTTACGATGATAAGATACGATATCATCGGATTACAAAAGTTCACAAGGAAAAGTTAGTAATATGGGAGATCTTTTGTGAAATTTTACGAAAAGGAAACAAAGACAGTTATATAACAATCTCACAAAAAGAAAGAAAATCAAATCATTTACGCATTTAAAAAAACACTGGTTTTTGTATCCATTGATGGTATTTAAACGTAGTTAAATGCTTTCCATCATTATGAAAAGTTATTATACTGTCGAACTAAACATTAGAAATAAACAAATGGACAACACATTGTAATAAATAAATCGACAGAATTCAACTATGTACAATAAGATAATAACGATTATAGATTAATGTAGGACACCAAAAAATATTACATCGGACTTCAGTTATTTATTAATCGGCGATTTTTAAAAACAACTACTGAACACTACAAAAATCTCCCTGAATGTCAATCAAAAAGGAAAATATACAAAAGTAACATTAATTGGTATATAATTCCCATTTAAACATTAAAATTAAAACACAGATTTCAGCGAAGGGATCTCTTTTCAACGAATTTATTATCAAGCTGTACAATCGTATATATATATATATGAAAATGTTTTGTTAAAGTACTAATTCCGTGAGGAAATGTGAACACGAATAACCAAGATTATAATACTGGATTACGTAATATGAATAACAACAATAGATTTAGTGAATATAGTAAGACGGATAAAATGTTTTGGTTACAATAATTAAAGTTCATTAAAGGTCATAGAGGTGTAAAATAAATAAATAAGGTGATGAGTATTCATGAATAAAATAATGAGAATATAAAACATAAGTAAAGGGGGAATGGAGTAATAATAATAATAAAAGAATGATAATAATAATAATAATATTAAGGCCATGGTAACGATAATGATAAAACGTACTTCTTTTGTACGCATAGTTCTGGTTTGAGCTCATGGATGGTAAGAGCTTCGGCTATTTTTAAAAGTTTGATCCGAAGAAATCTTGGTAGATTTGAACGAATCATATAAACAACCTTAAAATCAGACTGTGGATTCGTCGAATGATTACAGTCGATTAGGTGTTCGAGTATAGAACTTCGAACTGCTTGACCGCCAAGAATATTTGGAAAAAATGAGATTAATCTTAAACGATGTCACTAAATTCTCTAAACCTAAAGGAGAAGGTGATAAAACACTGCAGATTGAAAAACAGCTAACGGATGTTGTTAAAAACCTTAAAAATAAAGAGATAATTACCCAGGATTTATATGATCACATTCGCCCAATGGGTTCAATCATCCCACGCTTATACGGACTACCGAAAGTACATAAAGCAGGTTTACCATTACGACCTATTTTAGACATGTCAAGTTCACCATACCACCGAATAGCCCAATGGTTAGCTGAAAAATTGGAACCAGTTAGAAGGCAAGTATCTAAATATTCTATTCATGATACTTTTCAATTTATTGATCGTATTAAGGATGTTAATACTTCCGGAAAACACATGTTCTCACTTGACGTTAATTCTTTATTCACTAGTGTACCGTTAACGGAAACTATATGTTATATTTGTGAGTATATAGACTCCAACAACATAGTTCTAGGTATTCCAACTGAACACTTAAAAGAATTATTGTTACGTTGTACCTTTAATGTCCAGTTCAGTTTCAACAATGAAATATATAGACAAAGAGATGGGATCGCAATGGGATCTCCTTTAGGTCCAATTCTAGCAGACTGCTTCATGGCAAAACTAGAAAACGATCAACTCAGTTCAATGATAAGTCGATTTCAACTATACGTAAGATACATGGACGACACATTTGTCGTTTGTGACGATAATATTGATTTGGACAATATCTTACACTTCTTCAACTCATGCCACCCTTCCATAGACTTTACATTAGAAAGAGAGAGAGACCAATCAATCTCTTTTCTTGATGTACATCTATTGAGAAGAAGCAATGGTTTTTTAAAAAGATCTATCTTTAGAAAGCAAACATGGAACGGTCAACTAACCAACTTCTACAGCTGGGTTCCATTAATTAGAAAGAGAAACTTGATTCATTCTTTATGCTATCGTATACATCGGATATGTAGTACAGAATGCATCAACGAAGAACTAGCGTTCCTCAAAAAAACTTTGTTGAAAAATGGCTACCCAGACCGGTTCATAGAAAAGAATATGAACAGAAGTAGCGTCGATAAGAATCCTAGTTATTCAGTGCCAAAGAAAAGCCTTTATATAAGTCTGGAATTTAAAGGTGATCGAACATCAGACATAATTAAAAATCGTTTAACAACAACGATTAAAAGGACATTTAACGCTGCAAAACTACGAATAACCTTCACCAGTAAGAACTTAATTTCTGTATCCATAAAAGATAAGCTTCCGCGTTTGGTCGCCTCCATGTGCATCTACCAGTTCACCTGCTCTTGTGGAGCGAGGTACATCGGCCGTAGCCAGCGCTCGCTTTCAACCCGGATACGAGAACATATACCAGCTTGGTTCTACAATGGTGGAAAGAAAGCAGTTCGAAGTTCTATACTCGAACACCTAATCGACTGTAATCATTCGACGAATCCACAGTCTGATTTTAAGGTTGTTTATATGATTCGTTCAAATCTACCAAGATTTCTTCGGATCAAACTTTTAAAAATAGCCGAAGCTCTTACCATCCATGAGCTCAAACCAGAACTATGCGTACAAAAGAAGTACGTTTTATCATTATCGTTACCATGGCCTTAATATTATTATTATTATTATCATTCTTTTATTATTATTATTACTCCATTCCCCCTTTACTTATGTTTTATATTCTCATTATTTTATTCATGAATACTCATCACCTTATTTATTTATTTTACACCTCTATGACCTTTAATGAACTTTAATTATTGTAACCAAAACATTTTATCCGTCTTACTATATTCACTAAATCTATTGTTGTTATTCATATTACGTAATCCAGTATTATAATCTTGGTTATTCGTGTTCACATTTCCTCACGGAATTAGTACTTTAACAAAACATTTTCATATATATATATATACGATTGTACAGCTTGATAATAAATTCGTTGAAAAGAGATCCCTTCGCTGAAATCTGTGTTTTAATTTTAATGTTTAAATGGGAATTATATACCAATTAAAGAAAAGCAAGGACCATATGACGATGAAGGAACTCAATGGGTTCTTACGTTACACCGTCAAGCTTGCGCTAGTGAAATATAAGATCAATTTTCTAGAAAGCTGTATCGAAAGTAATGATTATCCTAAACTCTTCTGGAAGGCACTAAGACGAAACCACATTCATCCCAATGCAAAAACTCTCAAACGTCATACTCTCAATTGTATAGATGCCATTAAATCTCGAACAGTTGAATTAAATCGCAACATATCTCTAAGAAGTCACGCATTGTTTGAATTGTCGTTAGATGAACGTAAACAATTTGAGGATTATGTTAATGATGTTGCTGAAAAACAGTCACAAAAGGCTAAACGTAAACACTTAGAAACATTGCAACACGTAGACGTGATTAACAAGTTTCCAGAACATCCCGAAAATTATGTATTTAATCATTCGTCTATTAAACTTTCGGCTATCCAAATGCAGGCCTTATCATTGGGTCCTAAATTCTGTAATAGCACCTCCAAAACCAACAGACTTTATGCACAAATTCAATTCGAAAATCTATCAAACCAAACTCATGATCTTGTGCCGACATCCCCACAAAATCTTCAGCATTTTAAATCCACATTACTGGACTGTAGTCATGGATATGTTAATATACAATGTGGTAAGAACAACTTATTAACTAAGAACCATCTGGATCAACTAATGCTCCTGAGAAGAAATAAGGATTTAATACTAAGTAAACCTGACAAAGGAGCTGGTGTAGTTTTACTTGACCGCCAAGAATATTTGGAAAAAATGAGATTAATCTTAAACGATGTCACTAAATTCTCTAAACCTAAAGGAGAAGGTGATAAAACACTGCAGATTGAAAAACAGCTAACGGATGTTGTTAAAAACCTTAAAAATAAAGAGATAATTACCCAGGATTTATATGATCACATTCGCCCAATGGGTTCAATCATCCCACGCTTATACGGACTACCGAAAGTACATAAAGCAGGTTTACCATTACGACCTATTTTAGACATGTCAAGTTCACCATACCACCGAATAGCCCAATGGTTAGCTGAAAAATTGGAACCAGTTAGAAGGCAAGTATCTAAATATTCTATTCATGATACTTTTCAATTTATTGATCGTATTAAGGATGTTAATACTTCCGGAAAACACATGTTCTCACTTGACGTTAATTCTTTATTCACTAGTGTACCGTTAACGGAAACTATATGTTATATTTGTGAGTATATAGACTCCAACAACATAGTTCTAGGTATTCCAACTGAACACTTAAAAGAATTATTGTTACGTTGTACCTTTAATGTCCAGTTCAGTTTCAACAATGAAATATATAGACAAAGAGATGGGATCGCAATGGGATCTCCTTTAGGTCCAATTCTAGCAGACTGCTTCATGGCAAAACTAGAAAACGATCAACTCAGTTCAATGATAAGTCGATTTCAACTATACGTAAGATACATGGACGACACATTTGTCGTTTGTGACGATAATATTGATTTGGACAATATCTTACACTTCTTCAACTCATGCCACCCTTCCATAGACTTTACATTAGAAAGAGAGAGAGACCAATCAATCTCTTTTCTTGATGTACATCTATTGAGAAGAAGCAATGGTTTTTTAAAAAGATCTATCTTTAGAAAGCAAACATGGAACGGTCAACTAACCAACTTCTACAGCTGGGTTCCATTAATTAGAAAGAGAAACTTGATTCATTCTTTATGCTATCGTATACATCGGATATGTAGTACAGAATGCATCAACGAAGAACTAGCGTTCCTCAAAAAAACTTTGTTGAAAAATGGCTACCCAGACCGGTTCATAGAAAAGAATATGAACAGAAGTAGCGTCGATAAGAATCCTAGTTATTCAGTGCCAAAGAAAAGCCTTTATATAAGTCTGGAATTTAAAGGTGATCGAACATCAGACATAATTAAAAATCGTTTAACAACAACGATTAAAAGGACATTTAACGCTGCAAAACTACGAATAACCTTCACCAGTAAGAACTTAATTTCTGTATCCATAAAAGATAAGCTTCCGCGTTTGGTCGCCTCCATGTGCATCTACCAGTTCACCTGCTCTTGTGGAGCGAGGTACATCGGCCGTAGCCAGCGCTCGCTTTCAACCCGGATACGAGAACATATACCAGCTTGGTTCTACAATGGTGGAAAGAAAGCAGTTCGAAGTTCTATACTCGAACACCTAATCGACTGTAATCATTCGACGAATCCACAGTCTGATTTTAAGGTTGTTTATATGATTCGTTCAAATCTACCAAGATTTCTTCGGATCAAACTTTTAAAAATAGCCGAAGCTCTTACCATCCATGAGCTCAAACCAGAACTATGCGTACAAAAGAAGTACGTTTTATCATTATCGTTACCATGGCCTTAATATTATTATTATTATTATCATTCTTTTATTATTATTATTACTCCATTCCCCCTTTACTTATGTTTTATATTCTCATTATTTTATTCATGAATACTCATCACCTTATTTATTTATTTTACACCTCTATGACCTTTAATGAACTTTAATTATTGTAACCAAAACATTTTATCCGTCTTACTATATTCACTAAATCTATTGTTGTTATTCATATTACGTAATCCAGTATTATAATCTTGGTTATTCGTGTTCACATTTCCTCACGGAATTAGTACTTTAACAAAACATTTTCATATATATATATATACGATTGTACAGCTTGATAATAAATTCGTTGAAAAGAGATCCCTTCGCTGAAATCTGTGTTTTAATTTTAAAAGTAACATTAGTCATACACATACAACAAAGAACATAATTATAAATAAGTGTAAACTTTAAAAAACATCCGGAGAAACACAAGGTTGATTTTCAATAATTTGCTTATCAAATTGAGGAGAAACATGCGGTATATTACGAACTGGTAGACATTCGTCAGCCTCATCTTCTACTTCTTCGTCATCATCGTCATTATTTTCATTTAAACGATTTTTAGATGTATCAAAGGAGTTTACCGAAATATTGTCTGTTGATTCAACTTTACAGTCACCTGATTCGACAGAAACTGATTTTACATTATCTTTGAAAAGTGAATTATCGATATCGCTTGTTTCGGAAATGATTAATACTGATGTTGAATGTTCGTGATTTGATTCATCTGATTGTGATTCTATAATATCTTTTGATTTCATAGGTGTATTTGTTCGTGGAATTTTTCTGTCCGTCTTTACAGAATCACTATCACCTTGACTGTCCTCCTCTTGATCATCATCATCATCATCGTCACACGGTTGATAATCACTATCAGAAGAATACTTTAAAACTGTGCGATTAGACTGGGGACGTTTTATTTTCAGACTAACAGATATTGGAGTAGGAGGCCGATCAGCATTGGTTCTATCGATCTGAGCTCCCTCTTCCTTCTCTTCTTCTTCATCATCTAACACTCTACGAATTCTACTATTACTTGTAACAGGAGCTTCCGAAAAATCGTGTTCAGAATTATCTGTTGTATCATCGTTTGATTCACGATAACTAACAACAGTTCGGGTACATCTATAAATAAAAATAATAAAGTTTCATCCTGTACACTATGCCCAACTGATAATTAATGAGTATACAGATGATAATATTATCAACCAGAAAAAATTAGAAAACTAGTTAACAACCGTAAAAACATACAAATTTGTAAAATTATTATGACTAATATTTATTTAAAATTCACAACGGGTTTGGAATGTCAGTCAGTTTCAAAACCTCATTAAAATGTAGAATATCTGGGTTGCTGAAACTCTCTAAGCATAAGTGAAAGTTGGCGTGCCCAATTACGGATACTTTTATCATGAAAGCAAGTGTCGGAGTGATAAATCATGATATACATATTGGTGTGATATACATATACACTAGTATCTGACAACAATGAATTCACAAGTTCATAGTACAGCTGGGGTTATTAGATATTGTTGATTGGAATGAAAAAAACAAAAGCAGGTTAACATTAGAACTAAGCGGTTCAATAGTGAAAAATAGTTTGCTTGCTGATTTCTCGATCATATAATCTAATTCTTTCTCAAGAATCGTCATTACTAAAAGCAGATCTACAATCTTGGCGTAAATATGGAGCGAAAAAAAATCCTACGTATATTTATGATGCTAATGTATTATGTATCCAACTATGAACTGGAGGAAAGTAAAATATCCATCATACTCGGGAAACCCGGAAGCCAGTTACAAAACTGTAAGACAAGGTACAAATGTGTATTCGTTAAGGTTACAAGAAAGGACAAAGTGACTCCTTAAGACGATTCAATCGTGTAAGCGAACAGGAATGATAGTTGAAGTGCTAAACGACATGGATAGTTACAAGTAGTGTTACCTTTTATAGTCTGAAATAACAAACAAATTTCGCGAGCATTAACTAAAAAGCAAGACAGAGAAAAAGCAAAGGTCTATTCCATGAAGATGTTTTTTCCATGACCTGTAAAATAATATTTGTTCACAGGATATAAACGATATGGAAGGGCAACTAATCTACAAAGTAATGATACAACAAAGTCAGCAAAGATTCATAAACTTCTAGTTGATTCATATCTGGTAGGAGCATCACAGTCTAAATTTGCAAAAGCATTTTCGAATATAAATCTGCGATCTTTATTTGCGGTTTGCCATCATTTGATAGACATTACAGCATCTTTATGCGATCAGCCTACAAAAGTCACACACACCAAAGAAACGCATAATACCCACTAACAAAACAAAGGAATTCTGGGTGCTTAAACTGTTATAATTTAAATATGATGAATGTTCAGTCCGCAGAGAAGAAAGGGAATAAATGCAAATATTAATTCTTACTCAAGAACTGGGGGTATACCAGGAATGTCTCAGATTTTATGTTAACAGTGCGATTTTAATCTAACTGAAATATGATTTCAACGAAACTGACGGAATCAAGAAAATTAGAGGTATCAACGTCTTACCAGTCTCGCAACAGAAAAATTCTACATTATATCTTGAGATGAGTGATATTATGGAGCGAGAAGTAAGCTTTTCAATTAAGTCTTAATTTCATCAACCAAAGAAATCTGTACCTTCCTATCATTTACCTTTCAACTGGCGCCTAACAAGATTAATTTTTGTGCGTAATATTCTGTACGTTAAAATGTTATTTTACCACACTAGAACATCCGTTTTCTGGCTAATGGTCCTGTTTTTGACGCTAATTTCGTTAGGGGATCAGGTTGCCAATAAGTCCCATGAGAAGTTAACACTCGCTTACATCGTATCCCCGCAAACGTCAGTCAATTTGTATCGAATATATTTCTAATTTAACGGTTCCAAACCCGTTCATCATCATAAGCCATAAACTTTTAATTCAGAAAAAAGGAAGCTTTAATTTATAAATCCAAAATTTAAGTGTCAACAAGTAATAACACAAGTTCAAAGTGTCTATAACTTCTCATTTCATTCCTTAAAACGGGAAAAACATGATCAAATACTGTAGCTAGGGTTTATTTGTGTAAATATCGAAATATTAAATGACTAACTAAGTGGAACAACTGCTTATCGTTAGCAGTTAGAAATGGTGTGTACTTTACTTACCCATCAAACTCGTGTTTATAGTGACAATCTACTAACACAATATACCTTGATATGCAATATTACAGTATGGCATACAGTATAAATATACTAGTAAGCAAGTAAATGCTGTTGAATTTGTTACAGCTCAAAGTTGTGATTCTGAACTAGACAGTTGAATGCCAACTACTGAATTCCAAGTTAAAACCCACTCTAATTTAGTTTGAGTATCTGGGTGTTGTTATTAATCATAAACAATATGTACAACTGTTAGTCCAACACACGAAACTATAATCAGTCATTGCGTTATATACTTCCACAAGATCAGTAACCAGACACAACTTTGTGTGCTAAGCTCTGAGCAGTAACTATTGAGTGGGTGCTAATGATAATTATTCTTTTTTTTTAAAAACAATGAACGTACGTGATTCACTGCTATGATTTAATGATTGATATTTTTCGTCCAAAACTAGTAAGAAACATTTTTAAAATATAGATCTTGAACTTAGTACGTAGCTCACCTTCTAGTCCGTAATACTGCACGATCAGAACCTTCATCACTGTATTCAAAATAAGGGACGGGTTTTCGAGACCGGTAAGAAAATTTGGATGATCTTTTCTTTTTTCGAGCATTTCCACGTGTCGAACGAGAATTGTGTCGTGCAGTTGAAAGCCAACTATTATCACTTGACATTTGTTCAAAGTCATCACTTGAAATATGCTTCCGAGAGTCGATATCGTCTTCACTTTCTGACACTTCAGAAGATGATGGTTTAAAATCTTCATCTCTTGCTCGACAACTCCGTCTTGCTTTACCATCTACTGAATCTTCATTCGAATGTTCACTAGAAGAACTAGAAGACAGATCAGCAATGCGACGCTTTTTACGACGAGATCGTATACTGTTATCTTCTTCGGATTCTTTCCAATCCGGCCCCAAGATATTCGACAGGTCTTTTCCACGTGAACACTTAGGTGTATGACCATTAAGCTCACACTCTTCGTCGATAACATTTTCACCATCAGTGTGGTTGTAATGTTCACTAGTCTTTCGTTTTAGTTTGCGCTGCTTTTCTTCTTGGTATTTTTCGTCAGCTTCTAGCGCTTCATCTAGCTCTTTGAATGCTTCGCTCACTTTATACCTAACTTGGCGTTGGCGAGTATTTCTACAAGGAAGTGGTTCATAATCAGACTCGACTGACTCTGATTCTTCAGACGTTTCTTCTCGAAAGTTTACACGGCGTGGTCTGGAAAACTGCATCTTTGATTTAGGCCGAACTTGACGACGACGCCTGATGGAATTTCCTTGAGACCTTCCGTCAACACCGGAGTCAGTGTTGGAGTTAGTATTCTTAGTATCCGAATGGGATACAAAAGCAATATCCTCATTTTCTTCGTCACTATACGAATCATCACAGGCATACTTAACATTGTTCTTTTGAGTATTACGCAGTACTTTTCCTTTCTTGTTTTTACGCTCATGAAAATCACTATCATCATCTCCTAAAATGTTCGTCATACTAATATTAACGAAATTCAAGCGTTCTTGCATACGCTTCCAAATATTTCGCTTCTTCGACTCAGCCTCAAGAACAGTAATGGTTTCCTTTAAAGCTGATATCAGAGTAGCATGTTGACAACGAGGACAAAACCAATCACCTTCTGGAATAATATGTAAAGGAGGTGAGAGACACATAGCATGGTGTCCCAAATCGCATCGGTCACATAGCAATATCCAATCAGGTAAGTGTGACTTAAAGCAAACCTGACACGGTTCTTCTTTTTCGTCTACATTGCAGTTAGTACTTGGATTTGATTCAAACTTCTTCTGTAAACGTTTTTGCCTGGCCAAGTTCCGTCCATCGGTTACACTATCAGCATCACTTTGAATATCTAACCCATTTGGGTCAAAATCACTTTCAGGCGCATCTGACCACTCAGGATTTATGTCTTTGTCCGGTTTTTTTGGTGAATGAGGATTTGATTCATCGCTGTCTACATTTAAATGTTGCATAAGCGCATTTTCAAATGAGTCATCTTCACCGTCTGATTCACTGGAAGATGTCCCATAAATCCAAGGGTTTGAACCCTTTCGAGGTTTTTTACGATGACGTTTCTTTTTTCTCTTTTGATTTTTATTTACTACATGACCATTTGCAGTGAGATGTATTTTTACGACAGGTATTTTCTGCTTTTTAGGTTTTTCGTCTTCGTTATTGACCTTGTGTAATGAGTTTGAAACAGGGGTTGATAATTTTGGACGTTTAGACTGAGTTGGTTGGATATTGAATACCTGAACAGGCTTACGCTGCCTACTACTGCGTCGTAAATCCTGTTCATTAACAACAATTTCTGAGCTCTTGATAGAGCTGTTTTTCCGAGACTTTTTTGATAAAACAGTGGTACATGGTTCCACAGCTGATGACTCGGAATCTTGATTTGTATGTTCATTGCAATCATCTTCTGGTCTTAGGACTTGTTCAGTGGTACATTCTTGCTTGGTGTGATATTCTGCGCTAAAATAATTTAAAGGAAATTGTATGTTTATTATCTTTAATACTGATTAGTAAAAAAGATGTAGTTTGAGAAGCAAACAATACATGGATATTTGGTCTGCAATAACATAATTGTTCAGTATCCTGTAAACCAGTTGTACTTCGTATTTAGTGATGGTCTAAATTCACGAAAAACATTTGCCACAAAAGGACCATTAGAAATCAATTATTTGTTAGAGACATCAGTTAACACAGACAACTGATATTGCTACAAATACAACAAAGATGCTGGTTAAAGTATTCTGAAGATAAATTATATCAGATTTACAAATGATCAAGCAAGATTACAGTTCATCTGTAAAAGGTAAGCAAGTTGCTTGTATATTGTAAACTAAGCTTGTGCAGTAAAGTAAAGCCTATTCTGATACGTTATCTGGTTGTAAGACAGTGTTTAAGAACAACAACATTTGGGCATATGAAGGAAAAAACATAATAACTTTAGAATTCTGGATGTTATTTCACCTCCACTTTAATTGCAAGAGAGGTTAATGACTGATAGATAAATATGAAAAAAAGACTCTTGTTTTGTTGTCTTTATGTATTGTATATGCGCTACTTTGGACAAGCAAAATAAGTACAAACAAACATTACTCTAAGATTTGGATAACTATACGTTAAAAAATTTTTGGTGATAGGTAAATGGACGTACTTTACATCAACACATTTTTGTCCCACCTCAATTTCGTGAATAACATTACGATTTTGATCATCTGTTTTTCCTCTGTTACTAGAGACCATTTCTTCACTTAATCCAACATTTTCTTGACTTTCGGGTTTGACTGAATGCTCAATCTTTGAAATTGCTAATAACATGTCGACCGAATGGATAGTTGGTTTTTGATCACAGGTAGGAGTTGGTGGTGGTGTAATTGCAGGTTTTAAGCAAACATTTGGGTGCGATGGCGGTGAAATAACAGAATCCTCGTCATTTTTTGAAATTTCCAGTTCTGGAGAGGCTACACCATCTTGTATCAAGTTTTCCAAATGATCTTTCAGGTTCGATCTATCTGAGGCTTGCTTTTTCTTAAAAATACTTTCCAGCTTTTCATCTTCTGAAAAGGCTTCTTTCAATTCTTCGATAAGACCACGCACATCGTCAAAAGATTCACACAACAACTTAGTGAAAAAAAATACGGAAGGAGCAAATTAGGAGTGCCGAACTAATACGCTTGGATGAAATTAAGACCATAGTTCCTAATATGCCAATACATTAATATGAATGACTTTACCCCTAAGATAATAAAATCAATAAGTAATAAGACTAGTAAAATAAGCATTCTGATCAATCATACAAAGTCCTTTCAGTTCTTTCTTGTTTTTTTTTGGAATATACTTATACATCACTTATTTAGTTCATTTAGTGTTGTTGAGAATTCACAGAAATTGGACTAAAACACTCTCTAGAGTTAGTGTCATTGATAAACGCTTTTACCTAATGTAGATAGGTTGTTTAATTAATGAATGTAACTCACCGGAAATGTTTACATAATTTGCTTAGTCATACTATTCATGCTAGCTGTGATACCGCGTGGTCGCCTCAACTAAAGTAGATGAAGTGGGATTTCATCCTTTAACACAATGGTTGAAAGACCAGTACTTTACCAACTAACCCCACACTTCTTGATCAAGAGACAAAACAGCACAAGAAAGAGGATGGATACTTACTTGACGCCAACTTTATGTGATAAGAGCAGCATCGTTTAATGTTTTTCAATTAATCAACCCGGTTCAACTGGTAAATTTCAGAGGAAAAGTGACAATCAACCTGATTAAATGTTGCGTAAAACATAATTTCAATCAAAATGAGGAATAGACCTTACGAAACTTACACTCAACCTGTGGTAAAAGTGCATTGATTTGCTGAGTTTCAGAAATAAGTTGACGCAGTTGAAAGCTATTTATAGAATATATAGTACATAAAATAACAGAACTCTCGCAGTTACTTATCATAGCAATGCTAATTTACTTGAATAATTCTTTTACAAGGCGTTAATAAATGGGACTCAGTACCTCTGTACATATTTACTTTCTCAGCTTTCATTAATTTTCGACGAAAGGTACCAATACTACTTTTTGTTCAGACCAAAGTATATACGAAGCAGCATCAAAACTTGGAACTCAAATTATTTAGTAAATAAAGCCCCACCGATAAGTATTACACAAATAAAATAGGAAATACAAGTAGTACTTACCTGGAAATTGTTTTCCTGATGATCTTCCCTGTATAGGTAAATATTTATATCTGAATCCTTCAGAAGCCAATAGCTTCTACCCCAAACATCAATCCCTAAGGGAGGAAATCGTAAATCAACAGGAGAGCGTAGGTTTGCCTTATCTTTGAAAGGCTGATTCCGATCAAACTGGGTTTCCAAAAGACAGAGAAGAGTTTTAACACGAACGTTAGGAGAGAGCCTGTAGTAACTGGAGACATATCCAGATGGCTTTTGAATGAATACATCCAGCTTTTCATTATTTCCACATTCACTATTCAAGAGAAGTTCAGCAGCTGTTTGGATTCCATCAATATGAAGACCATGACTAAGCAAGAAACGACCCAAAACTGGTTCCCAACGATCAGGGCGAGCGCGATATTTTAACTTATTGAGCAATTTGACGTGAAGCGTCTCCCATATTTTTGTTTTTGCTAATAAAAAAGAACTGCAAATGATTAGCGTATGATATGCTTGTATATGTATGAGACAAACTTTCTATAAAAATCTGGGGGTGTTCATGTATTTAAACATATGAACATTGGTACAAGGAGTCACACACAAGTCACTTGATTTACGTGTGGGCTGTGATACTGCTCGGGTACCCAGACTGAAGCACGTGGTTTTCTTAAGGGGCCACACTCGGAGCCTTTGACCTGGTCGACTAGGCAGTGGAGCGACTTTAGATGCAGTCCCATGATAGCCGGTGACCAACAATTGGTTCATAAGCCATTTGTTCCTTTAGGATACTGAAGCCCATGTACATCAGTTGTTGGGAATCAAGGTTTTCCAACTCCCCTGGGTACACCCACCGAGTCCAGCAACCCGGTTAAGGCGCCGGACATTCTTTTTCCGTCCCCTCAATTTCCTTAACAACATTAGTGCCGCGAGAAGGCAGTAATTAGGACTTCCCTGACGGTGGTTGTACGTACGTGACTATGTGAGAGCATTTGGGGGAGGAAAGATGACTCTCCCTACTCTCGGCCGGACCAAGGAATTCGGGGACATCTAAGAGTTCAAGGAAGAACCTATATTTGACTGTCGTAATTTACGGATAGCTCTAACACTTGCAGTTGATTTATGATGTACTCGATATATTATTGAAGCATTCTCCTGTACCATGTTTATGGATAGTCCTTAATTTTATAAATAGGTACTTTTTCGCCGTATGCTATCTTACCTAGAGACCATAGCTTTTTCTAGAAAACGTTTTGACCAAAAATACTTTCGTTTGAAACCAGATGTTCATATGTTAGTAAACAACGAAAGTTACGAGTTTTAAGCCAAAAACAAAGGTGATATGAAAGAATAATTAGATAGATAATAATCAAAGAACGGCGGACATATTAGACGTACATCATGGTATTCAGTTCGCTGTAAAACAGTAGTAACAACTGTTGGCCAGGGAATATATACTGAAATGTTAACGAGTAGGCAAAGTATAGCCAACAAGAATCTTAGATCTCATTCAATTTACCACTTTTTACTGAATTTATTTCTCATTAGTAAAAAACTTTGCCAGTTACCAGTTTGCCCAAGTTAATCAGCATAGAGATAAGTAATCAACCAGTACCAGATTAATTACTCTGAATAAGTTTATTAAATAAATTTTAGGACTTCTTGCGTTGTGAGCCTAGAAACTCTCAAGACCCCATTTCCTTTAGTATATAGAAAAAGAAAAAAAAAACAATACCGTCCTTGTGCAGTCAGTCTGTGAAAGACTACTCACTTGGGTCGGATATATCAATAACCAACAGTAAGAGCATGTACACTTCTACTTACCTATGAGCACGAAATCATTTGGCTTTAGACTACTTCAGCTAATTGCTTCAGTAACTCAAGTGCTACAAACATCATACAGTACAGAGTATGCATGGTGGCAAACCGAGTAGTGTATAATTAAATAGAGGAACATGGACCAGAACACTATGAAGACTTTATTGCCAGTAAGACAACCAAAAACTATTGACTAGACAATAATGTTAACAGATACAGTTCCCTTTATAGAGTTATGACTAGTGTTTAATGTTACATAATCAATTACGAAACAATAACTTCACAACTGAAGTAGTGGTCGAACAAATAATGTATTGCTTACTGTTGCACTCCATACCTGAATTTTGAAGAGCGAGGAAATCATATAACTGTGGGAACGTAAGGTGAATACCAAGATCAGAGCCAAAAAATGTCAAGAAAGAACAAAGTGCAGCAAAGTCAGGAAGAGAACGCAGATCATCCGGATTCCTAAATTAAATATGAAATAATCAACAAAACTTTAACAATATACGGAGGAGTCTCCTTGTCCTCATCATATTTAGAAATATCTGCAATCATCCAGAGCGACCTTGAATCATAACCATGTTAGGCGCTTAGATCGTCATTCAATAGATTATATGTAAATGTCACTATCAGATACATCATTATTTAACGTTACTATACTTTTCTAGAATCCAGTTTTTTATCACGTTTCAGGCAGATGTTCTTAGCATGCATATAATTTTCTCGTTTGAGTCTCATCTTTGGAAGCCTTATGTACTGGTTTTACTGACATTCTTGAAATATTTTATTAATCCTTTCCCTGTTCTAAGTGCGTTAATTTGATTCCGTGTGAATTAAGAAGTTTTGCCCGTGTCACCAATATCCTTGTCATCAGAGCAGCTGTGAATTAGATCGCAAAATAGAAACTATGACTTGGTGTAGCCTTATTCCTTGAGTACCTGAAACTCAACGTAACACTGGATAAATGTTTGCCGCTTTTTAACATAAGTTGCGACTGCCTATGAGTTTGCTGACTTTCGACTCCCAAATTCTTGTGTTTTTACATGCACAGTTTCCTAACTCTTTCACTATTTACATAGTCAGGCGGAGGATCGACAATATATAGATATTAAAATATCATGGTAGTATTTCATTACAATTCATCTATGAGGTATGATTAACTCAATGTACCCTCCAAAAACTTCAGTCGATTGTCCAGGGTACCGAAGTCAGTCGAAAATACCAAGTTGTAGCGACGATCCAGTAAGCAGTATCACATCTTAATCTTTTACATGTTTCACTGAAAAGGTGACGATTGTTTACACAAACCTAACACTGAAATCTGTGCCAGTTTCCAGGGGGAAAAGTTTCAGGTATTACGTTGTTTCCCCATATCTTTTCGCGATATACCATCTGAAAGTTGAAATCTTACTGACGTCAGTTAAGATAGAGTCTGTTAGTTTTCATAATGCTTTGGGTTGGTTTCGTCTAAATCCCCTGTTATTGATACCATTACGCCCTCAACTCAGAAGTAAAGTGCAATTATATTCGTTTGTCAAGCCTCAATTGACCAAAGGCTCTCTCATAGCTAAATCTCAAGTCAATGAGGTAGGCATATATATTCATGAGGTATTTACGCATCAGGTTTTTGTTCGGGTTTTCTGTTCTGGATCTATCTTGTAAATATGGCATATATATGTATGATTTGTGAATACTAATATTTAACATGCGACAACATACCTTCTATCCGGATTTTTAAAGATGGAACAAAACATTTTGAAAATCCAGGATAAAACCCTCTAACCGAGTGATTGTCTCAATACCCCTCTCAAGAGACATGTATATCCGTGACCGATTTTTCAGGTAACGAGATATTTCGCTCTTCTGTGTTGCGTGTATCCACACCGGACAAAGCTTCAGTAACCTAGTTTTTGTAAAGTCAAATTCAGGAAAATTATTTTTAGACTGAATGTGAACTTGCTAACTCTGCCTACAGCTCTTCTAAGGCCCATGTCGATCACAAGTTCGGAAGAAGAAGGAGGGTCCGTTGTGAGGTCGGCGAAAATATCCTGTTAAAAACCAGCTCACTAAAAAAACACGCACACCAGAGAAAATAATTCAAACCGTTTAAACTCTGCCCTGGGAGTTGAAGGAAGACATATAACGCCTCATGATGTAAGTCTCAATTACTCATAAGTGACGAGGCCGATACCCCTCCAAACAACCACAGCAAATAGCAGCGGAAATGAGGAGATACAACTCTGTGGTTCACGGAATCAGCGAAACTTATTGAACCCAAGCTGGACAGCAGAAGTTAGATACGGGAGAAATGCAACTGTACTGTGGTCACGAAGATAGAAGTGCTCTAGACAGTCAGAGAGTTTCTCTGATGTTGTCCAAAGAAGCACGAAATGCACTTACAGGATAGGAATCCCATGGACTTGGACCTAGGATCATTAAAGCATTCTTCAAAGCAAAGGAAAGGACCACAGTGAGTGTTATCCAATGTTATGCACCCAACAATGATAGCGATGATGACGATTAAGATCAGTTCTATTCGAGGCTGCAATCGATCATAGAGAAGTGCCAGGAAAGCGAGCTTTGAATAAGCGTCGAAGTATTATTGAGGCTAATATTTTAGACACTATATTAGTCAAACTGATTCCTCTGTGATTGTCACAAGAGGACTTTTGTCCTTTCTTATAGACTGACACAATCAGTGATTGGAACCAGTCAGATTGGACTACGTTCAGTTCCCAGATTCTACCTAAGACCTCGGTCAATCTCTTTGCTAGTACTGGACCTTCATCCTTGAAAATCTCAGGGGTAAACTTGTCAGGGCCCGCTGCTCTCCCTCGCTTCAGATTTCCTATAGCTTCTTTAACTTCGTAAAGGGTTGGGAGACTTACATTAGCTTGAGACTCAGGTCGACTGGAGATCGTGGGAAACCGAAGTGTGGCTGAAGGCTAGTTGAATCGATTTCTAATGTGTTGTGTCCATCGATCCAATCTCCTGGATTGAGAATGAATGATATGTTCATCTTTATCTGAGACAGTTTCGCTGATACACGGGTTCCTAATACCGGTGTCTTTAACAAGTCTGAACAGTTGTCTGCTGTTACCTATTGCCGCTGCCTTTTCTACCTCTCTTGCTTTCGCTACTCACCACTGTTCGCGATCAATACGTAGGCTTCTTATTAGCCTTCTCTTAAGCTGACTCCGCTCTTCGTTATGTTCAGAGCCAGGTGGGATGAGTTTACGAGCATCTATCTGTGCGGTAGACGCTGCCGAGATCCATTGTTTCTTCCTAACCTTATGGCTTGCCTTACTAGCGGATATCACTGCTGTTTCCACAGCTTTTCGGATGTCATTCCACGCTGCTTCGGGGTGGGCACAACTTACATTGCTGCCTAACTGTTCATCTAGTTGTTCTTGAAATATATTCTCAGCTTGGCTATCATTAAATAGAACGCTAAGAGGTTTCCCTGCAATGTCTTTCCTACTTCCAGATACGTTCTCGCACTAGAGCATGATCTAAATCTAAACATGTGCTCCAGAATGAGCGATAGTCTTCTATGGAGCCCCTTCATCGGTGGCTGATAGCGATGTGATCTAATTGGGTACAACGTTGGAACGAATTCGGGGGTCGCTATGTCAAAAGATGTTTTCCTTATGCTCAAAGTTAGTATTTGCAGGAAATAGGCGGTTATCCGAGCATAGCTGCAACAGACGGCCGCCATTATCTGTTCTTTTAACCACGACACCATAAGATCATAAGTCAGTGGGAAAGTAGGCAGAGACTGCGAAGAGGCAAAGACGAGCTTCCCCATCTTTCCGAGTCCCTACTGATCTGTTTAGTCGGACAGCGCGTAGACGACTGTCTACTGGGATCCAGTCTAAAAGAGCTAGTTCTGCCCTACGACTTAATGCTATACCTACTCCAGCGAGGCCACGCGAAGCCACATCAGGGCTTCCAGATACACGAAGCGTGTATCAAGATGGGTTTTTTTGATATAGTGAGGTCAAATGAATGACACTACTCGGATCTTGTATGCGCGTTTCGGAGACGCAGCACACATCGATGGTGCGAGATTCTGAAGTCCTAGCTGAGGAAGCCTGTTGTCCTATTTAGCACAATGTTCGGACATTAAAAGTTCCTACATGTAGTTTAGAGCATGGTTTCAGGAGACCAGGCATATCGTTCCATGTATTCGAATCGTTTGCCCCAGCTGTGCGGGGTTATAAAATGACTTGGGAAGGGTTAGTCATGGAGATAAGAGAGTTATTAGCACGTGTAGGAAGGATTTGAAAGTGACCAACTTGGTCTCGTGTGCAGTCACGGGTATGAGGACTGATATCAATTCCCGGATGCACACACAGTGGAAAGGTATTTCTTGAGGGACCTGTAAAGGGAGTTGAATTAGTGTTGGTCTGAACGACCTGGGAGCATGACCGCAATGCCCAAGGGACAACTGCTTGAGGCCGGTCACACACGAACGTTTTGTGGGTAATTTTTGTGTTAGCTCCGAACTTGTCGGGACCTTACCGCCGGAGACGGAAATCCGTGGTATAAGGTGAGGTGTGCATTTTAAGGGTTGAACTTTTCTAACCCCACCCCTCCTTGTGGGAAGGCAGCATCGCTTTTATGCTGGTTGTCTGGAGGAAACAACTTACTGCTGTCACACCTCTGTACAATCGGCAGTACGACTTCACCTTCGGACCTTGGGTTTGCTGCTTTTAGTCTAACCGCTCTTCAACCGACCTGTCTGTCATAGTAGGACGTTGAGGAACGATTGTTCCAGCCAGTATTGCTCGATTGATTCATCACGGTAGGCAAGCCCTACCACCACGTCAAGGTAGCAGTAACGGTCGTGTCTAGGTTATGTCACATAGGAACATAGATTTAAAACGATCACGGATATGTAGAATTTGAAAATACAACTGTGAAAAACCTCTTCTTACTTGATAGTCCTAAGATTTGACCGCAAATCAGGAAGTATGAGTTGGTATTAAGTGGAGTGCATTTTGAAATATGTTATTGAAGAATCTGCTCCATATCTACATAGAAGTATGCCATAAGGGTTTTTCCGTTATAACGTTCAGATAAGCTTATCTTAGTTTATTATTAGTAGACGGTTCATTCGGATATCATTGATCATTCTATACACTTGACCCAATCATTTATTTGTTTGTGATCTTTAGAGTCCTTTCACTTCTGTGTTTGATAGTGAGTGTCTGTTTACGTGTATTTTTATACGGCTTAAATAATTAGTCATCTCAATATTCCTTGAGTAGGTATATAATTTATTATCACCGCTTTAGATGTACTCCAGCTACATATATTCCAGTTTGTCTACCACTTAACACCCATATGCATCATACGCAAACCAAGTACTCGTATTCGACCTAGATAAACATTAGATCAATGTCATTAGTTGAGAGATATCAGGAATAAAATAAGGTCGATATTTTGTTAGCGTCGTTCTGTCATCATCGTCATAAAAGGGTCAGTACGAAGTCACACATTTTGCTTGTTGAATAAAATATCATGTTGTCTATGACGGTTTCAAAAATATTGGAAAAGTATAATGTTCTTCCAAAATCAATTGCGTGGGTAGCAGCTGATGATAGCTTTAACTTACATTCATTCTCAATTAGATTTTGGATTAGAATGTGGGAGTTCTTCTCACTGACAAACATTTGGGATAATGGGGAGTACAGAAGTTTTATATGTCACATTTTAAGATAATACTTATTTCTATGCCTATCTTTGTTTTATGACCTTCATGAAGATGAGTGTGCCGTTACAATGAACTCCGTGATTTGTCTCAACAGTTCTTGGTAGCTTTCTAAGGGACTTTCAGAAATGGGTGACAAGCTTTTGCTAAACATTAAGCGATGCAAGTAATCATTAAGAGGCTTCAGTTAAACATTACGAAGCATTATATTTTCACATATTCAGTCTTTCACTTTATAAAGCAAACGTCTTAGAAGTACTTCAATAACTGCTGATTTGTTAATTAAAATACATCATATTAAACCTAAATTTAATTTTAGATGAGATGGTTTTAAAAGCGTATAAAAAACCGAATCAATGTCCTAACTAGGAATAGAAATAAGGACATATGGATGAGTAAACTGTCTGGTGAATGTTAACCACTGACGTAATTAACTAATTTATGTCCCTAACCTTTATCTTGAAGCTTACGAAATCCTTTCATGGGTGTTTGTTAGAGCGGTTTAATTGAATATAAATCTTAGGAATGCTTTGTTGCTTTGTAAACTAAATGATTTTACGTTCAAGGTGTATTTTCCAGTTTCAACTCCTCAATTTGTATGTGAATAGAATAATGTATTATTATTTATTTGATATAACAAGCTTTCACCAACAAATGATGTTGACCGGCTTTCAGCGGAATGATAAAATGAATATACCAAATCGATACAGTAAATCCCAATCCCCTGGTTTAACAAGTTTATTCGAAAACGATATTAAATTAGCAAAATAGACCGTTTTTGGTGAAATCACACATATCATCATAAGATGAGAAGCGATGAGACAATAAATTTGGTTGACCTCACGAAAAATATATCTCAGAAGAATGCTTGAGGAAAGCAATCAACACTTAAAAGTTTAAATTGAAATGAACAAAAAAATTCTTCAAACAAAACACAAAGTAATTAATATCATAAAATATCTCAAAAGAATCAACAAGGAAACTCATAATTTATTCGAAGCATTCATCAATAGTTTCATATTAATTGGTAGAAAATGTTTTTTTTAATTATTTGATGACCAAAATGGACGTCGTTGGTGAAGTGAAAGAAAGTTTCTCTTTAGGAAGCTCCAAATACTTTGAGCTTATATTTTCAAAAAACTGATTGACTTTTATAAATTATGGAGAAAATTTACATTAAATCTTGTGGAAATATACGACACAGAATGTTAGAATAAAAATTCAATGCGTTCATTAATTTGTTTGATATAACTGTTCACAAGACTTTTTCCAAGGACTTAAACAATAAATTTTGTATACGCTCATTATTATGAAATATTTTAGCTTTACATTTAACAATAGCTTTCTGTTTTTCTTTGGCATATTGTTCTAATTCTTCTAGTTCAGCTTTCAAAGGTTCTATACATGTTTGGGTTAAACTGAAAGCATAAAGTAATCATGTAGTGTAATATTGTTAAGTAAGCATTTTAAATAACTCGCAGAATAGTATTTTTATTAGGAAATAATGATAGATCATATATTGTGTTATTTAGTGAGTTAAATTATCGCTTATTTAACATTTTATTACTTACTAAGTAATATAACGTATTATTTAACGAAAATGAGGACTTAAAATCTGAATAGTTTCAATGGTAGAAATGAAACATATTCTGTACTGTAATCGAAGGACTCCATATGTCTTTAAAATCTAAATTTTTAGCAAAAATCGAACTCATTTATTTATTTAAGTTAATCCTAACGACAAGTGATAGAACACTTTATGAATTCTGATAGTTTCCTATTAATCTGTGTAGCAATATAAAATGATAAATCTAGAAATGAATACGACCAACTAGCATTTCTCAGGTCTAAGCATTTTGTAGAACACAAAATAGTTGCCCTTCGGACTTACGGGCTTCACCCATGCCCACGAGACCACAAATGAGCTCTGAGTCCTTCGATCCTCAAAATGCGAACTGTTAGGATTAGGCCCTTGTCCATTTAGTCTAAAGTGTGGTTTTATTAGGCTAATCATTATTTAGATTTAAGAGCGCCGGTTACCCTTGCAAACACAAATGTTCCGAACATTAAACGTTCAAATGTTCAAGAACTGTATTTTAACCGCTTCACTGAATATATGCACGATATTTTACACTATCTGCTCAGTCTGTTAGGAATAATTGAGATTTTGTGCTAGTTTTATGCTTACAACTTTGATATCCATGATTTCTTATAAGTATTACCTAAAGTTAAAAATGAAATCTGTTTCGGAAATAGTATTCCAAGCAGTTTTATGTTGATTAAATGTTGTAGTAAATATTTAATAAAATTGTGTTATTTAGTAATATCTGATAAACCGAATGAAGTTTCAAAAACTAAAAATTTCATTTGAGAGTTTACATTTTCGTTATTAAACATTAAATTGAATCATTGTGTCATCAGAACAAAGGTTATACATAACCAAGTATTAACATAAGTACTATATATATATATGAGTTAGGTTGCTGACTTCAGGAGCCTTCATTATCTTTCTAGATAACATAACCAGCATATCGGCAAAACTAACACTTACTTTTCTTGTTGTTTCAATTGAGATTTAAGCGTATGGTTTTCAGTTTTCCATCGTTCAAATTCTTGTTGCATTGTTTCTAAATCTTCTTGAACAAAATCCATCAGTTTACTCAGTGGAACAGCTGAACGGGATAGTGTTTGGAGTGAATCACATAAACGACTAATTTCCTTTTTTAATAAGGCTTTTTCACGTTCTTTAGTTGCTTCATCTAATCCACTAGACTTTTATTGGATAAAACGTGTATAAAATAAATCATTTGGTTTTATTGGGAGAAGAAGAAAAGCTGCTGTGTATTTGGTTTTTATAATAAAAGACCTAATGATTGGATAACATTTCTAATCATTGGCAATCGTTTATAATTAGTCCTTTCAGTTAAATGGTCAAATAACAGTTTAATAAAAGAGTTAATAACAACTTATAACTGAAGATGATGATGATGATAATGATAGTAAATAATTTAAGAAAACTAACATACAATCAATAACATTAACATAAACTAATAAAGCCATTAAAGGTGATTCTGAAGTCTGCAGCCGAGACTAATAGTATAAGTTTTACAGTAAACATGTGTAAACCACAATACCAAAAATCAAGTTATTTTATGGAAATCCACAGTTTTTGAAAGAAATTCATATAGACGTTCATCTGATCAAACTTTGTGAATTTAACCACTGAGTTAAGATTACTGTGTTAAAAGATTACATTTAATCCTGGTACATCATGACAAAGACAACGTATGGCAAAATTATATTCTCTAATTTATTTTTCGTTATCTAACTTATGTAGATGTAAAGAAATGCATTGAGTAAGTAGTTTACTAATATTTCATTAGGAATTTTACGTTTCATTGGAGAATAGTTTTTTTTGAAATATAAACATATCGAGGGTATATCTGACAACATTTTAAAATTACTTTCAGTTATTAAAGTCATTAGAAATATCAAAGATTTCCAGGAAAACTATTGATATACAAGAAAACACTATTACCAGTTGTGTTAAATCAAAATAAAACTGTAAAATAATCTTTCGAATCTGTAATTAACCAAGTGAATTTGTACATAAAATTGAAGTGAATAAAACATCAAGCAGTTATTTCATTTAGATGAACATCTGGGCTACTTGTAACTGCCATCTAAATATTTCAAAAAGTTATCTAATTTTGTTTGTTTTAATACATCATTATGGCTATTAGTTGGATTACCTATTCAGACGCGTTTCTGAAAAGCGTACAGTCTTTCGTTGTACAAATTACAAAACGTCAAAGTGAGAGATATCGTGGTTGTGGGCAATATACAGGGAAAAGAATGTACATTATTTAGATGTCGATTAACTGGACAGATGAATTATAACTGGCAACCGCTCAGAATTTATCCTCATGATAGACTAAGAAGTAAGAAACAGAAACCTTTTGAAATACTTTGTGTTGAGAATTGTGTATTGTACCAAAAATATTATATTGAATAAAGCCATTATTAATAATAAGTAATTTGTCTAACATACAATAATTTTTAGCAAAATTCACATTATATAAATATATATAAAAAATGTCGTTAACAAATTAACAAAATTAAAGTTTTTTGTAATGATTTATATAACAAATTAAAACTGGTTCAATATTTATTTAACGGAGCACCGAGTAAGTAATGCAGTTGTTAGGAAACGGGTACTAGGTAAGAATGGCAAATTGATTGTTGAAGTAGTGAAAATTCATCACTTGAGATGGCTGGAACGTGTTACGTATGCCACACCACCGGTTTCCCCGACGTGCAATGTTTTATAGCGTAAGAGTAGGTTGAAAGAAAGCTAGGGGCGACCAGACTTAAACGTGGTACAAATCCACGAAGTCACTGACGAGTGAACTGAGTCATGTTGGAAGGTGTAGACTACGTGGTTGGTATTCGCGAGATGATAGTAATCGATGGTTAGAGATATTGAACGGCATGGCTCAAAATCGTTTGCAATGGTGAAGGTGCATCCACTCTTTGTGTTCTACTTAATTCTAATCTTCTGAATTATTCATGTCTCTATATTTCTTCTCTTTCCAAATTTATTTCACTGGATTATACCCCTTGAATACCATCTTCAAACCATAATCTTTCATATAATGCTTATACTCTTACTACTTCTATCACTATGGGATTTGAATCGACAACCACATCTCTGCGCTTATGTGGTATGGCAACTGGAACTGATGTACGTATGTACGAAGTTCTACGTTGTGACTGACTGACTGATATATTTAAGGTGGGTTGTATTGTGCACAAAATAGTTGTTAGAAACTTGACGTGTTCAACACTAAAGATATTAAGTGAAGGTTGACTAACAGTGCCTAATAATAAATCAATTTCCGTACTTGTAAAAATGTTTTTTTTTTAATTATTGAGCCACTGAATGAATAGTTGATTATTAGCGGATTGATTGTTTAAATATAAAACTGTAAAGCTTTGAGCAAAGCTTATTAACGACATGAATAATTAACTAATCAGTGATAACTTCACAGCTTGACATTAGCATGGATAAAATATCGAGTAAGTAATACGTAACTCCAATGTTGTTTGTAAATGAGGAACTTTGGGTTTTTGATAGTCTAATATCTTAATTACATATGGTGGATGATGATAAGATCTATTTAACCATATACTAATTTATAAGAACTTTCGTCTAAATTAGAGGCAGCAGTTTCACAGTATTTGGGTGCCGAGTTGATTGTTTGAAAATAAAGTACATAATAGATTCAGACGAAACCTAGTTTCAGATAAGGCAAAACAGGCAAAATAATTGTCAATCAGGCCTCAGGATTGTATGTTTTGACTTCAAAAGAAAATGAACCGTTTTTAAACTAAGATGTTCTTATAGTCATAAACTGGAGATACATTCACTTTATATTTGATCCATTCAAATGGAAGTGATATTGAATTTCACTCTTTTTTCCTTCACAGATTCAAAAATCTTGATTTTTTTACTATTAATTACTTTGAACGATACAATAATTTTACTTAAGGAAAATAAAGTTGGAACTAAAACATTAAATTTGTTAGGTTCTTTTTAAAAAAAGGAGATAACAAACCTGTTCTTTTAAGCTTTCTCTATTCATTGTACTGACATTTTCAAAGTCCTTTTTTGTCTGCAAAATCTTAGTGACTAAACCGCCTAGAAAAGTTGAATATTAACATAAAAAGAAAGAATTTCATTTACACTTTTCATTTGTCAAAGACGTGTTCATTGTGATGTCAACATAAACATGTTAGATATTAAATTATCTGTCTTAAAAAAAGACTAAAGCCCTTTACGTGAGTGATTTTAGGTTTAATCGAGTGATAGTAATGAGTATGGGTTGCTATTTGATAAATTAAAAGAAAACGCTGTTTTTTTGATGGAGTTTTGTTCTCTCTATCCACCTGAGCTACAAATCCTCTCCACCATCTCAAAACACTGTGCCGAAGTTATTTACAACGAGATTTATTTGTAACAACTTAAAAAAACAGTTAGATATGAACTTATATCTAATCGGGTGGTCTATTTTGGTCGTATATTCATGAGAGAAAACTTAATATCTATTAGACTTTGTTTAAAACACTTTTGATAACAGTTGAGCTGAGATTTCATTTAAGTAGCAAGTCACTTTAATTCTGACAATCAATTTAAGTTGCTCGCAAAATTATAAACGTCACTCCAGTGTATACATAAATTTTTAAAACAAATAGTCATACGAAAATGAAAAGAGTGACTATCAGTAAGTATGACATTTAAATGAAACTACCTTAAAGGTAGTTCACATGAAGAGAATTTTTAAAATCAGTTTTCTAATTTGATTCCTTACAGAAGGATAAATAAGCAAGTTCTTCCGTCAAATATTGATGTTAATTAAGTTTTTGTATACTGTTCAACTAGTATATGATTCAACTGAGCAAATCAACAGACAACTAAACTTAAAACTATAACTAATAAAACCTTAAAATACCGTCAATCACAGCGATTATCAAGTGAAAAGTTTTTTTGTGGTTAAAGATGGTCTTACGGCAATTTTTTTGAATTTACGTTTATATCATGATAAATAAGCTTACCATGTTTATGATTATCTTCTGGCTCATTTTTATCCCATTGTTTTGTTAAAATCTCAGCTGATATATCACCAGGAGTTTTTTCACTAACAAATTTCTTATCATCATTATTATCATCGTGTTCTTCATCAGTTGTATCTTGTTGTGATTCAGAAATAATAAGTCCAGATATACATGTCATATTCATTTGTCTAATTAAGTAAAAAAAAGTATCATTATAGTTTATTTATAATGTTTTTAAAAAGTTTGTTCAAATGTAGTTTTTTTTATTAAAAATCTGATTGTATGGATTAGGATTTATGGTTTGAATAGTGCTATTTTATAAAACTATACTATAAAAAAGCTTCGTGATGAATTAGAACTTTTCAGATGGGTACTACGTTAGGAATAAATAATCGAATTGATAACAGCGATCATGACAAGAAACTAGGCATAAAAATGAAATCTCAGAAGAATGGATGAAAACTAGAAAAAAAAGGGATTATATTGAGAAGGGAAATTCAGAGAAGGATAGAGAACGAATACATCTACACTACAACGACTGATTTTCATTCTTGTTACTTAAGGACTCCAGTCATATTATTGAAAGAAATCACATCTAGGAGTAGTACATTCTCTTTATCATGTAATTACAATGCTACAAAAACGAAAATGAGATTTTTCAACGTAGTTAAAAGACTAAATGAGAAAAAAACTAAAATAAAACTAGATTATAATGGACAACAATATATAATTTTATTAACAGATAAAGAAATAAAATAATGATTCTCAAATTAGGGTGTGTGAACATGTACCAAAATGGTTGCAGAAACAAATTGAATCCAATGTCCCGGTAAGAGTAGAGGATAAACATCCATCATCCTCTATTGCCAAACACATAAGATTGATCTAAATTCGACTTTTGTGATGTTGTATAAAAGTGTTAAAGGGCGTATACTAAGGTTTATTGAAGCTATAGCCATACGAAAATTCAAACCCCCCTTGCGTATTCAAAAACAGTTTGTTCTCTCCTTAAACCTACCCTGATAATATTAGCTTATTATCCAGAGTGATTATTTGTCAAATTGTTTTCACATTATTTTTATTATTATTATCCTTGTCTATTCTTACCCCCCATTTCCAGACTAGTTGACATTTTATTTTTATATATAAATGTTCATAACAAATATAAATGTGTGATCAGATTGTTCGAAATGTATTACGCTATTATATCATCACATAGTTCTGATAATCTTCGTCTTCTCATTACACTGTCGAGATTCTCAATTAAAAATAAATTCAAAATAATCTTCTAATTACACGGAAACAAACGTTATCACAAAACATTCTAAAATAAAATGTGTTTAAAAAGATAACTGAACTTGTAAGAAGAACAAATTACTGAATTATTTCAATGAAGAATAAAACTTAAAGAATTTCCCATTTAAATGTATTATAGTCCATTCAGAATATACAATTAAATTTCTTATCTAATTTCTTGGTTATTAAAGATCGAATTCTATTTAGTAAACTGGAAAAGATAAACCGATCGAACTTATTGTTTCGAATCAATTGCCTGATTATCACATTTGAATAGAATTTGTGTCAGTTATTGAATCGAATTACCGTTTATATATATAAAGGATACACAAGTTAACGTCATCAGAAAAAGTAAATTTGTGATAGACGGTAGGTAAAGTGTTTTGAAGTAGTTGGAGAACGGTGCTCGAATTTCTTTGATATTACTTAGCGGTTATCAGTAAATTGGGTATATTAGTAACTTTGATGAAATTAATACTCTAAAAGGAATTTCAACCCAAAGTATACTAGGTCACAAATTAATTTAAACAAAGATAGCATTGAAATAATCATATACTACAAAAATGTGATCAGAGCAGGTACAAATTCAATTTATGATAAATGAGCTTTGGAATAAAAGAAATGTACACTAAAAATGAGGAAAACAATTAGTGACCAAGATCGTTTAATAAACCTTATTGATCTATAATTTTTTCTATATGACAAAAATATTTTCAAAATGAGCAGGGAAAGCCAAAGTTGTATGTGATTGACGAGACAAAAATAAGTAGACTCAAGAAAATAGAACGTAGACAACGTCGTTTTTAAAAAAAAATATCATTTAAAATGAATAACTATGAAGAAATAAATCTATGGGGTTACGGGAAGTAGATAACTGATCATATCGAAATAAACAATCATTCAAAGGTAAATAAACTCAATTTCATAAACTGATTAATCAGTTTTTACGGCAAGATGATAATTTATGAACAAACTTTGAGCGATACTAGAACGTACTTTGCAAAACTTCAACTATAGTTTAAGTAGGGTTATAAATTAGTGTAAGGAATCAAAACAAAAGGTTAGAGTTATGAATTAGGATATAGAATTAAGGTTTTTATCATAAAATGATATCAACCATTGTGAATAAATGTAATTTAGCCATGTGAATGAACGAATTTTGTTCCGAAATTCAAAATCTTAGATTTGATTGTTTCGTTCTTAAATTATAGTTTTCTGATTATTGTTCATCAGAAATGACAACTACACAGTTATCTTCTTTCAGATTGATGTTGAAACAGAACGTTTGCAAATCCTTAAAAGTAACTTCAAATAAAGTAATTTAAGTCCAACTCATACATTTTCATCAAAATCCACTACTGAATATCTCATTTATAAGATCAAGTGCTTACTTGTGATTATCTTCAATTACAAAATCTCCAGAACGTCTTGGGCGAGGCGGTGCAATCCTTGAGCTATCAAACAGTAATTCATGCAAAAGAAATTTGACAAACGATGTGTTGAATTTTGCATTTATATATCATAAATTAGATATACGAAATCAAAATTTAACTTTGAAAGCGGTATAGTCACACTAGTATCCTTTGTAAATCATTTGAGGGACCGCTTAAGAAATCATTTTATACTTAAAATTTCGGAGCTGTCTGATTATATCCCCAGTTTATAAGATAATGCTAAAAGTGAAAACTTATGCATTCCATTATCTTAATGTGTAATTGTACGTTTACTTCCTGCTCTAAGACTCACTCTTTAAAAGAATGATTAAGATTTTGAAAAAACTTCGGATAAGGTATGTATGTGATATCAAGGTACGGCTTTAAACTGTTAAATAACTTTGCTGGTTAGCCGTAAAACTGAGAAGTATAATATAAAGCCTCACCTGAACATTTGTTTCTCTTTTTAAACTCATATATTAAGTGGCCGTGATCCTTTTTTTGTTTTCGTTTCCTTATTTTATACCGTCTGTCGTTTAAATTACCTTTACTTGATTTGTGTTTATTATCATAATGGTTATGACTTCTGACAAGGAATTCTCCTGAGAATTTCTATTCTTTTTATATTATGTTTACTGACGAACAACTACACAAATACTTTTTGAAGTCTTATGGCTAAGATTGGGATTTATAAATTTAAATAATTTGGGAGATTAGTTTGGATGTTAATAATAAATAATTTATTTTATTATTATAAATAGTAGTCTTTTTTGAAACCGAACCTTTCAAGGACATTAGTTTATTGGAGTTTAGGATACTCGGAAATAAGCCACTGCATTAATTTATTATCTCCTATTAATAAAAGATGATTTACCCAATTTTTCACTTCCTGTAACAGTTGATAGAAAACTTATCGGAAGTATAGTGTACTTCATCAATTCAGAGGATTTCGAATATTGGAGTGAATATTATGCCTCTTGACAGATAAAGACTAAATTTTTAGGATGTCTTCAGCAGTCAGAATTCATTCTAGATTCCTTTTTAGTTTAATATTACTAAATAAGCGTTAAATATTCACTTCTAAATAATGTTGGTGGCCGAATATCAATCATCTTAATGAGTAGAGCAGAGTAGAATGATTTAGAAACCATTCCAAATTATCTAAAATGTAGTTCATCTCTAATTTGTCCAGACAAATTCAATTCAAAAACTTAAATTACTCAGCTTATATAAACGTAATATTCTGAAAAGTACAAAGCGTCTCCACATTAAACTTGTATTATTTTGACATATATGTAAAACATTTAAGTTGATCGACTGTCTTAACAGTACCGAACAATTCAATTATTGATGCTATATACAATAAAACATATTTTTGATAATAATAATAATAAACTAGCTACTAGCGCTAACCAACTGATTAGATTTTTATGTAGTTCATTGGTTGCCTAAGATCAGTTGGTTATGGAAGTTTTGGAATTCAACAGTCTCAATAAACCGTCTACTTTATTGACTGTTTCTCACTTATTGAAATGATGATTCAGAGTTAATCATATTTCATATACATGTAAAGATGTTGATTTGATATTTATCAACTTCATAATGAAAATTTTCAAAATGATGTTCAGTAATTAGTGAGAATATCCAGATCATTTCAGTAGTAAATCGTCTGCTCAATCCATAGTTCAACCAAATACAAATGATTAACTTATAGTTTTGTCAAGATAGTTTAGTTAGAAGATATAAAATCGACGTTTTTAAAATTTTTCAAAATAGTTTATCTTACTTTTCAGTCGGTTCAAGTTTACTATCCTGTTGATCAGTTGATAGCTTCACATCTAGCAAAATTAAACAATAATTAACAGATAAGCATTTCTTCGGATACAGATATTTCGATAAAACCTATACAAATAATTATCAATAGTTTATATCCCAGTACTCAAGTTTTTTGGAGCCTATTATTTATGGGATCGGAGATCGATTCAATGGACATGTTCTCAATTCGGACACCTTATTCACGTTGGTAATTCATAAAGTCAGTTGAGACCTTATAGTGCTGTTCAGCTTTTTAATTATTTATTAATATACATAGCTAATTATGAAGCTTTAATAGAGTTATCTCTAAATTACATGTTATTATCTAAAATCGTTCGTTATTCCCTTGAATTGGTATATTCTATTCAAAAACAACCCTGCACACCTAAACACAACCTACTAAAATCTACGTAATGGTTGGAATACCAATTAACACATTACACTAATAAGTTAAGCGGTTTTGAATTCTAACAAAAACAGTTTATTAACTATAATCTGTCTTGTTTTCGGCATGAATATAGTAGAAAACAAAAGATGGGCATCGGGTCTATTCGGAACGATTTCTGAAACATAATAATTCGTCTTCATAACTAATAAAATTAGATTGACTAATGAGCAGTCCTATTCAAACTAATTGACTGATTAGAATATAACTGTAACTAGCCAAACACTTAATATTTACATCTAATTTATTAGGTACTAGAATATATCATCACATCGTCTAGAAGTAAATGATTCTGGAGGAGTAATTATTATTATTTATAATGGTAAAAGTTAACAATCTGTAAATTAGAACGACGCATACAAGCGAACAATGTCGTTTTATATTGGATCTTCATGTTTCAGTTTAATATACGGAATTACTCATACACATATATGAAAATTATTAAACCAACGATGGCGGTTTAAGAGTTGACAGTGGAACAGATTGTATAGCTAAAAATAGTAGGTAAAAAGGTACAGATGGACAGTAGGATGATAGATGTACTAGTAGTGATTTCACTTTTGATTAAGACCTGATTCAAAACAAAATTGTTCGCTTATATTGGTCCGTACATAATCTATAAATGTTTTTGTATTAATCTCGATGGCCCAGAAATTCGGTTTAATTAGTCATCAAGGGATCTTGAATAAAAACGTAGAAACAAACTGATGTCAAACAGCTACCATCTTTTTTAACCCTCTGTCCTTTGGCAGATGCAGGCCTGTGAAGTCGAGGTTGGAAGACTGATGTTTCAGAATTTTGGAGCGAAGGGGCAACAATTTCCTCTTGTGATTTTTCCGGTGTTTGTAAACCACAATGATTGCCAGCAGGACTTCCAGAATCTTGAATCATGTGATTTTCCCTTGCGTTATCGCAATTTTCTAAATTAACTGGGTCTGTTGAGTCCTAAAACAAGAAAAAGTTTTCATCAAAGAAAAAAATGTAGAAATCATTTCAATCAATTTAAACATGTTTCTCAGAGAGATTTTATCAGTTTAGTCCTACCTCAAAAATTCTTGTAAAAATACATCTTGCCTGAGTAGATTCTTTTGTTATTAAATCATGAATGTCTCCTTATAATTAATGTTGGCTCCCAATTGATATAGTCCCTAGTTAATTTTGCATATTCCCTTGGTTGCGCTTGTTGTGTATTCAAAATTCAAAAAGAAATGCAATATAAATTAGTGTAATACACATGTCAGTCACCAGATCGAGCAGGAGAGAACAGGCTGAATTGTATGTAATGTCAATGTACGTTGGAATCCATTGTATTCACATGGGAATTAATGTTTTATTTATTCTCTGAACCAACTGCTGAGTAAGTGTAGGCAACCCAGAAGATTAATGCACGTATAAGATCGCGAAGACACATGAAAAGTTACATGTATGCAAAAATGCTCACATGAATAAAAGTTCAGAACTTGTCACATATATAGGTGAAAAATAATTAGTGGAATTATAATGACCATTCGACTCATATGAGTGCCCTGATCAACACTTCCAGAAACTAATCTAGGTTTGGGCAGGTGTATGAATTCCATATTGCAGAAGAACGATACGGAAAGTCCTTAGTTTAACTACTTAATCGGCAAGTAGTAAAAAACGAATAGCAGAGAGCGGATATTAATTTTTATTGCAGTTATCAATCCAGGTGCGTTTTAATTTTGCTGAATAAGACTTATTCATTTTAATTCTGTTAAATACAGAGGCAAGTCAGATGTTTTAGTGGAGACAGATGAAATAGGTTACAGATGACTGAAGGCAACGGTATATCACAAGATGGTCCTCTGTAACGGTTAAAAATAGCAGGAGATGCATTACGATTCTTATGACGCACCTGCATCAATGTCTTCTCGAACCTATTCAAGCATATAATGGTAATCGTTTGCATGCAAAATATAAGAATCGCATCGAAACAGAAGTCAATTTAAAGTAGCTTACAAAGTGAAATATTGTGTGATTTTCGCATATTCTTTTGGTGACTAGTGTGCTATTATGATGCTATTTTATTTCTATTGGAATATTTAAAAAGCTAGTGCTCCCACACAAATATATAAGCATACTTGACTAGTTGAATTATACCCAGTTTTAAACGCCAGGGTTGTCATAAATAAGACATTAAATTACATAAATTTTAACTCTGTATGAGCAATCCCACTAATGGTGGTACAGTTAGTCATGGTTGTTTTTCTGGCATCCAGTTTCAATATAAATGAAATAATTTTAGGGGTCGGATTTGCAAATTCTCTTTCACTTTGAGAAACTTTACTCAATTTTGTCATGAAAATCATTTTATGCAACTCAATTAACAGGAAAACACTTGAGAGGAGACTTCTATACATTCTATATACTTTGCAATCGGAGAAATTGTAATTAAGTCATAGGTTGATAATTGTGAAAAAAATATAGCCACCCAAAACAAATGGTAGTACAACTTCAAATCATTTTTTCAAACCCCATAAAATAATCTATTTCGCGAACTTTGTATAGGAAATTTAAGGAAAGTTTAAACCTATAAATAAATGTGTTGAATAATCTGACGGTTTGGGGGGTTCCATGAACTTGATTTAAGTTATTATATCATAACATCAATGCAGGATCCTAGTCGATATATATAATTAAATAACTGATTGAACTGCAGGAAAGATGTACATTGTGTTTAAATTATCTTTTGTAATTGTTACCAAGTATCTTGAACTAGAAGTCTGAATTTTCCTTACGATATGGATGACATTAATTTGACAGATAAAGTCTGAAAGACTTTTAAATTATTCTTTCAGCCTTCATTTGTGTTTCAAAAGAAGCATCATAAAAAGAAAAAACACCGTGCTTTTTCATGAACCGAAAATGTACCTACAAAAAACGTGTGCAGAGAAGACTTAAAAATGGTTCTCTTTGATGTTATAGCATAGTTTGATGTTAATCAAATAACATAACATATAACTGCCAACAAGGAACTAAAGCAACGTAAACAAAATTATACATTCACGCATGTAATCGCTTTATTATTGGTAGGTTTGAGTCATTTAGCAATATGTTGCAAATAAACAAAGTGCAGGAAAAATGATGTTTGAGATAACTATTAAAATGTAACAGTTATTTATTTTTCACAAAAAACCATGAAATCATGTTTACCAATTTGTAAATATTACAACCGACAAATTTCATCGAGTTTCAAGACATAAATTGGGTTTTTTAAACGAAATTAATTTCCAGAAAATTTGACTTTGTGTGTAACTTCTGGAGTATATTTATGTGATGTTGAAATTTTATTTTGTATGGTAAAGACATTTGGTTATCTTCTGTGGTATGGATGTAACTAAAAAGCAATATTATCTCAGATTGATCATTTACGGAACTTGAAACATCAGGCTCATCATTACTCGTTTGACCACACCACAAAGTAAAACGGTACTATTCAAGTTGTAAAAAGATCGTGTGGTGTCCATTTTTCCTACAAACTGGTGAAAGATCAAACTCCTCCAAGGTATATTTATGGTTATGAATTGGTGTAATGGCAGATGAACATTATTTGCATGATGTCAAAAAAAGTCCTGGTTTGCCTGCCGACGACATAACTGGACATTTTGACCTTTGACGCAGTAAAGCCATAGATTAAATAAGGACTTTATTATGACTTACAGTATACTAAAAAAGAATTTTGGGTCGAACACATCCATTTTTCTTTACACTAATAGGCAACATTTAAAGCTGTGGAAAACATATCCCATTAGTGGACAGATTTTCTGACAGAGAAGTAAACTGTTCGAATCAACTAATGGAAAAATGGCATCTTTATTCAAGAGTGGACACGTACATAAAAATACCGGTAAAATACTAAAACATACCTCCATCCTGTCTTAGAAGCACAAATATAGGTCTGAATATTGTTCAGTATGTTTTTTTAACAATGTACTTTAAATGAATTTGTGCTGTATGAACTACGATTCTAAACATGAGTATAAAATATCAATATTTAATTGAAAAATATTTGATGATTTCAGGTTGATTGATATGTACAAAAAATAAGTTAGGGATTTTAAACATTATCTCAGCTAACGCAACCCTTATAACTCACTTAAATCAAGAAAAATGTATACATTTATTATTATTATCGAAAGGTTTTTCAAGTTCATTTACTTTTCCCCCATTCAACTTATATTTCTGGCGACTTTGAGTTAACTTTGTCCGATGACCCACAGGATTTGACTCTGTGCCAGACTTCTTTTTTGGATGCTTAATTTCTGACACTTCCTTTCCAACAATACTTGCTTTAACATCATCGACTTTACGTCCTTGGAGTACACGGGCAACATATTCTTCGTTGTTGATCTAAACAATCATAAGTTATTTGATCAAACCTTTTTATTGACAGCTTCAGCAAGTAGGTACAGCATCTCATTCGTTTTCTCAGCCTCCTTACCAGCAACAATGCTCATTATTCTGACAGGAATGGTTCGTTCATGCACTACCGTCAAAAAATCGACCAACTTTTGAAGAAATGTCAACTTTTTGTCTTTGTCTTTAACATTATCAGCTTCTAATTCTTCTGAGTTAAATAAACCTTTCATTAGTCCTGTCGACCTAATAACCTTGAAGAATTATACAATACAATTCTAGTTGTTTACTCACTGACGTACATATATCATGAAGAAATCGAAATGGAGGTCTCGACAAAAGTTTTTCAGTAAGGACTGGCTTTTTTATTATTTTTCCAAGGGTTTCTTGAGTTCTTTTGATGATTTTCACGTCTATCTCACCCATGTTGCGAATATTTTGAATGGAAGAATAGCAACAGTTTATGTCATTCAAAAATACAAACACCAGCATTGAAATTTCTTTACTAATTTTTTGTCTATAGCTAGTACCAAATAACTATAGGTTTTTGCGATTTTCAGAGTCTTAGAGGCTGCTGAGTATTTTCGCTTCATTTTTTTTGAAATCACTAACCTATCTACGATAGACAAAGTTGTAAATCTGTATTGTGGGGTTTGTTGCCACATTTTTTTGCAATGGTGAAATTGCATAAATCGTTTCTTTAGTGTACCGTCTTTTTCTTCATCTTCACTTTTTACTTTTTATACTCTTTTGATTAGGCAATGATATCGCTAGTATCAAAGTTTGCCTGATTTAGAAACAGTTATCCGTCCCTCGTACTGATGCATAATAGCGGAACATAAAGTGCGAATTATATATTGGTTGTTAATAAACGAACTAACTCGAAATAATAAGGCTATATAATATGGTGTGGATGATCATGAAACTTGCAGCAGTTTCAAATCATTCAGCTTGAGCATAAGATGCATCTCTATAATCAAGTTCGAAATTATTTTACTTAGATTATACACTAGAAAAGTAAGACCAGTGGGATGATTCTGAGCTCTTAGGAAATTTTTCGACAAGCCAAACCTCTTCTAAATCAGTCGAAGAGTCAATATACGTTGAATAGGTTGCCAAACTTCATCACTTTCAGGGATAACATTCATGAATTCAGCACTCGCACATCATGTATCGACCCACATGTCAGTTTCTTCACTTTATACAGACACAATTAGTTCCTGTAATCCATTGTTTTGTTAAAATTCTATTCAGTACATGTAGTCGTGAATCACCAATGTAGACGATTGATGTACCTGATTGAAGGCATACACCGGTTGGTCAGGAACGGCGTGACCTTTTGGCTTACACCGAAGTAACATCTCGCGGTCAAAACGTTACATCAATTGCCCGTTCGTCTTATTCAGACATTATGGCCACTTTGATGACCACAATGAATGAATATAACAATACTGTATAAACGTGTTAGTAAGAATTAGTAGAATAAACGGAATGCTGAAGCGACTGCTTGGGCTAGTCCATGACGTCCAACCGACTGATGTTTGTCGGTTGTTCTTGACCTTGACGAGGGTCGGTGAATTTTTCCTGCATGCACAATTATTTGTCTATGGACAAATGACATTCCTCTAACCTTACATAATCGCCAAGGCATGAGAATAAATTGGATAGCACAACAGGAGATCTGACATCAACGCAAACTAGGTATACCACACTAATTAAACTTGAGTATACCTGCTGCCGATATTGATCATCGTCACATTCATGTGACATAACGTGAACAGGTGTTTACAACAATTTCCTTTAAGTTGCTTTAACTCTTAGAAAGTAAAAATGCAGAGTTATTCCGTAGTCCCTGTGGAAAAATTTGTATTACCCAGTAATGGATTCCAACGTATCCGTAGTCAAAAAGATTGGCGGTACCTAAATGTCTGACATCTTTGTCTTTATATTTCTCTTTAACTGTATTGATAAAGTGCAAACATCTTGACCTATCGACATTTGTCCCAGGCTCTGCGTTGCTTACGGTTGATTCATATGCCCATTTCGGCATAGCTAAATCTTATGCGCCATTCAACGGATTTACGTTAATTCTCATTTACACCAACTGTATTTTTCAAACGAATGGCTGTAATGCGAGTTTTAGCCGTAAGGCAGTAGAACCATATGATCTCGAAATTGTCAGGACACTACTGCCAATAACTAATGTCAGTAGGCTCAAATACTACTTGTTGTGAGTACTCTCTTTGAAGCTCGTCACCAGATTTCTATCGAAATAAAGGGGGGATTATATCTGTTGTTAAAAGCTTCAGCAACGATAGTTTGAAGTATCGGTATATTGAGAATAAAAAAGCAGCTACTTGTGGTAAGTATCATAGCAGCAATAAAAAAGGATTTGGATTTTAATGCCCAATAGTTAGTAAGCAGAAACCTCGTCTGAGAACGGCTATACAAGCTGCTTCATATAAAACGTCAGAAGTTGGAACAAGGAGTCCAAAAATATATTTATGTGAATCTGCAATTTAAAAGTGGCCAAACTTCTGATGTTATTCAAAGTCGGTTAATGACAACGATAAAAAGAACGTTCTATGCAGCAAAACTGCGGAAAAATTTCGATAAGCTTCCGGCCGCCTTCACGTGCATCTACCAGTTCACCTACTCTTGTTAAGCAAGACACTTAGGCTATAGCCAGCGCTTGCTTTCAACTCAGATCGGGGAACATGTCCCAGTGTGATTCTACGAGACTAAAAGTAAAGCAGTTAGAAGTTAATTTCTTCAATATCTACTCGACTCTAGCCATTCTTACGATCCACAGGTTGATTTTAAGGTCGTTTGTACAATTCGTTCAAATGTACCTAGACTTGTTATTGCTTAACTTCAGAAAACAGCGGAAGCTCTTGCTATCCATTTGCTGCAGCCAGAACTTCGCGTGTAGAAATGTTTGTCTTCATAGCATCGTTCGAAATTATTATCACAAAAAAGTTTCTGCTGGTATCAAGTTTGACTATTTATCGTAATACGCAAACTTACACCCGAGTGCACTGAAAAATTTTCTTCAATTCTATTCCCATACTTTCTTGCTTTCCTTCTTTAAAATCAACCAAATATTCTTCTGAATTACACAGAACCTGTTTTTTTTCAATATGGCAATTATTATGCTAACATTACAGACACTATTTTAGAAGAAACCCGAGGTTGTTTCGTCACAACACTTATGTAACAACAAATAACATACCGAATAATAACTAGAAGATAGGAAAAATGAGTCGACGAAAGTGATATGTTTTATGATAGAAGTCAGGTTATGGTTGACGTAAGATCCATTTCGAAGGTTTTGTGTATGAAAATCCCTCCATGCGTATATTTGCTGCTTTTTCTCGTTGGTTTCTTTAGTTGTACATTTTGTTAGTCTTTTTGATGCCATTTGAGGTTGTTATGTTTCATTTTATGATAGTTTTCTCATTTTTTCTTCTGCTTTCATTGAGTTTCTATGAATCTTCTTCAACTGTATCTATTTTGTTTTAGTTGATATTTAATTTGGGCTGCAGTCACATTGATTGTTCCCTCTTTGATTGTGTTGCCTGAGTTGACTGTAATCGTGCATTTTGTTTGTGAATTGAAGCACTTTCCCAGAATCAGAAACACTTTGTGTTATAAGGCAACAAACTATTATCTTTTGAACGGATTTTTACTTGATCTATCCATAAAGTATAGAATAACACTTATTTTTGGTTCGTTCGGTAATTTTCTTATATTTCTTATCGATTTGTCTATTTATTGTAATTTAAATAGATTATTGTGAGCACAATTATTGGTTTAATAACTGAGTGGTAATATTTGTTTAGGTAAAACTGTACATTTGTATTTATGATAAAACTTAGAACTGCTGTTTCCCCAATCACCTTTTTCTTATTTTGATTGTGGTTCACGCGTCTCTGCGCGATTGGTCAGTTTTTTCTCAGTCAAACGTTGTTTGGATTTTAAAATTGGTAAATAAACAAAGCAGAGTCTTCCAAAGTCAAAGAGATTTAATGTGGTGGGCGTTTTATATTGAGATTGTTGGGTTTCTTTATAGATTGCACTTTACAATCTGACTATTTCCACTTATCTTATTAGGTAGTCCTGCAATCAGTTATTGGTGCACCAAATACTATTCAATGACCTCTACTCTTAACGAACATACTTTTTATCAAATCTGTCAAACTGCTAAAAGCAATCATTTAAACCTCTCACGTGTTTCATTTATCCACCCTCTAAATAAAACTGCCAAATATTGCGGAAATTCAAGATGTCGGTGTTCCGTGATCTTTATTGATCAAATCCTTGTTAGAATAAGACATGAAAGAGTATGTTCGGACAAGATAGCTCAAAGTCAATAAAGATAGTAGAGAAGGTTTATAGGAAAATTGTATTTTGTTTTACGCAGAAGCACTTAGCGGCTAGAAAGAGAAATACATTTTATGGCAGGATGTCGACCGATTGATAATTGACCATATGCCTTCAACTCCATCGTGTACAGTAAGAAAAACTAGGTCAGCAATAACACTGAATCCTCACCAAACTATTTTTTTGAGGAATTACTTACTTATATGCTCTTATTCAACAACCTTCGTCAGTATGAAGACAAATTATGGCTTGTGGATGTTAGTTTTGATTTGTTTACTCCCCTCTTGTCTTCTATGAATCACGGATAATCAAGATTACTCGTGATGGTGACAAAATATGGCAATTCAGCTCCTTATTTCCAGACTACTCAACAGCTAGTGTCACAGATGGTGTTGTAAAGGACTGACTGCTTTGGAAACTTACATAACTCGTTCAATTCGATAGCCATAATACTTCCTCTCGAATTATTCTTCATGTTTCGTATACGTTAACCTTCATCTGGTACCTGTGTAGCCATGTTTTAACACTTAGTCTTCGTTGACAAAATCTGGATAACTTTAATTAACATATGTCTGGATTATTTCATTTTGTTATTATATGGTGTCGGACAACCAAAGATTAGGACTGATTTAGCTAAAGTCAGGTTTCAGTCTTGATGTTGTTGCGTATCCATGCTGGTCGTGCATATAAGTTGGCTTGGTTCACGCTAAGAAGATTTTGATCCTACTTTGTTGGGAATATTCCTGTTTGTGAATAGTAATATTATTAATCCTTGTTGTTACCCTGGTTTGAAATTATCATTGTTGTCATTATCATTATAATTCGGATCTGAACATATCTCCTCATCTGTAATTACTTTTCATATCCCCGTGATTACATTCACTGTTTCGGATATTATCTCACTTCATTTAACCCTTCTACTACCCTTGATTACCATAAAAACCCCACTTAAATTATCTCACTTCATCCGTATTATGGCTCGTAACTAACTTATTCATTTTACAAGGTTTTCTATTTGCATGCATAAGATCTTTTATTGATATTACTCCCACTTAGTAGTCAAGCGTTGTAATCTTTCTATT